AATTCCCGCGAAAATACTCAAAACATTGATAGCGTTTTCCACTGGCGCACTGAGTGCCAAAAGTTTCGTGTTCCACTGGTAATTTCATCGTCAAACACGTCAAAAGTGTAATTTGGGGTTATGTCTAAAATAAACAAATTAAATAAATTAGTATTTTGCTACCTAAAATAACAATAATATTTAAAAATTCAGTTTGAATCGCGTACCGTCACTTTCCCATCGTTCGATTTGACGAATTTGATTTGAAGAATTTGAAATTTGACACTCAGTGCCCACTCAGTGCGCCAGTGGAAAACGCTATGAGTATTGAAAAGAATACATGTATACTTAATAAAATCTCCTACATAATTCATTACATTTTGTCACCTTAATAGGGTGTTGAAAACAACACCCTATAACCGACTGAGTGTTGAGTTCTCAACACTCTCAACACAATAGTCGCCGGCCATGGGAGTGGGGTATTCTTTACCTTTACCCTTGATATTTTACACACACGTACACACACACACACGCACACGCGCGACACACACACACACACACACACACACACACACACTGGCGGGTGCAAGGAGGTGGTCTTCGGCCACCCCCCACATCCACACCGTCGACAGAGGTCTGCCCCGACAGTACAAGCAACAGTATAATCGTAGAAGTCGTGTGCCTCTTCACAGAGGGTTGAGGGAGGTGAGAGTTACTTCGCGTGGAAAGTTTAACGTTTCTAAACGGAAGGAGATGTAAAATAGTACTTGTTATAATACATATATGGCAGAAATGATACGTTAATTTTGAAACTTTTTTTGTTAATAACTTTTTAACGGACAGTGACCGCCACCTAAAACCTGCGGGAGGTTACTCAGAGTCAAGACCTTGACAACATATGTCAAGGTCAAGATCATCGGGGGGGGGGGGGTTGCCCTTTTCTAGATATTTACCTAAACTTTGAGCGGTTCTACAAGATTCCTGGACATCCCTGCCACAAAAAAACACTAAATAAGCTTTGTATAATAACTTCTAATAAAATATTTTCCTATAACAATTTATCACGTTTTTGTTAAGTGTATCCAAACTTTTGGCCCGGAATGTATATAATTCGATTGTTTTAGTTAAATTAACGATAATTGAGTAGGAATAGTGATGGGCTGTAGAAGTAATTAAAAATAATTCAAATTGAATATAATTCAGAAGAAAATAAAATAACTTGAAGAATTATAGAAAGAATAATCGAAAATTTTTATTTTTCATTTTTCTCCTGATGTTTCTGGATGAAAGTTTAAATTAATGGACGGATAATTATCACGTACAAATAATTATACACTTTTGTTTGCAAGATTGCTTTTTGCGCCTGTTAAACAATCATCTCGTGATAACGTCGAATAGATTTATCGCACGCGATAATCATATATGGAAATGTTGCGGTTCGTAGAATAGCTGGGCTTCAGTACTTGGTGCTGATTCACTGCTTCATTCGCATTTATTCGGTGCCCCTTCGTACGCTCGCTCTCGCGTTGCACTTTCATTCCAAGCCCTCTTGTCGTCGTGACTTCGATATTGCGGGATCATCGGTCGGTCGGGCGAGAGATACATTAAAGGCGTGGGAAACTATCTGCGGCGAAACATTGCTTAACTCCCCGTCTTTTTCGCCGTCGGTCAAATAAACGTGGCCTCTCTAGTGCGTAGACAAGATGCTCAGTGAATTATGAACAAGCGCGATATGAGTTACAATATCGTACAATTATGAACGGGCATGATTATAGTTTCAATACAGACTGTCGTACACAGGTTGATAAGAGAAAAAAAAATTCGTGTAGTAAAATATTATATAAATATTATTATATAATTTTTTCGCTATTATATAGCGGTTACCAAAAGTTGTCAATGAGTAATTTTATTAAATTGCTGAAATAATGAATTTTTACAGATAAAAATTTAGTACCTATACAAGTAATATAATGGGTCGAAACAAAAATTCATAGCGCTACGAATTTGAAAATTTAAGCAGTTGTAACTTTATTAAAAATGAATAAAGTTTAAATAAAAAAAAAAAGTTTTAAAGCTTAAAATCTCTACTTCCAAGAAGTCACTATGTCTCTGGAGTTTCTATGAGTTTGATAATTTTTATATATAGAAAATTAGAACTGAACAAAATTTTTATCTCATTTTGTGATCACGTGCTCAAAAACCATTTGTGAAAATTTTTGACTTTCTAACGTAAAAGCCTAAAGTTTTCCCTATAAAGTCTGTTTTGATGTTCAAAATGTTCAAAAAATATTTTTATTACTGAGTTATCGCAGATTAAATGGAAGCATGTTGACTTTGCTTATAACTTTATTAAAAATTATTGCACCGCAATTTAAAAAAAACGGCTTTTTGCAACTGAAATGTTACTCCATCAAATGGTGTAATTGCCAATTTTTTTTTTAAACGTATCACTGGATCAAGCGATGGTTGAAAGAAATCGATGTTTTACATCTTAATGTATGCTTGTAGCTATGTATCAAAATCGAAACCGACGAATTATATGGACCATCGTCACGTTTGGAACCGTACGGCAACACGATTGTTAACTTTGTTATCCGGTATCATCGTTCTTCTGATGTGGAGGGCTACTTTCGTTAATCAATCGCGATTGATGGATGTCGCATAGATTGCTGTCGTTCACTTCGTCGTGTGGCGATTGACTTTATCGTCACGTTAGCTTCATTATGCCAGGTTCGTGACACGTTTCGACAAGTTTGGTACATGCGGGTCAAAGTCTCACCGTCGACGTGCCACGGTGATCAATAGCTTCCCATTTTTAGGCACAGGTATGACGAAGGAAGCTCCAAATATCGAATTTTTACCTGTTCTTAGACGACTTATTTTAGGATAGAATTATATAATTAATAAAACAGAATGTCTCATTTTATATGTTGTAAATATATAATTCATATTTTAGGGTAGAATTGTATCTATTATATAATTCAATAAGGTATCATAATTAATAAGGTAGAATATCTCATTTTACATATAAATATAATTATAAATTAAAAAGAAATTTTACATTACACTGATGTGCGCGATCAAAATATTGTTTTTCCTTGATTCTTTATTTTTAAATCTTCTGTGGGTTATCGTGGTTTATCATGCTAGGTCACGCCTGTACATGACAATTTAATGGAATTACATTATGAATAAAAGATATTAAATTCTTCTGTTAATTATTACAATTCTTTTACGCTTATCAAGCGTGTTATTTGCTTTTGAGATTAATTGCTGCGGCAATAAGCTACAATCGTAATTAAAAATAAAGATCGTGGATCGTGATTATTAAATCGCTTGACTCAGTACGCATATATTGTTGATAAAATAACGACGTAAGAAGAATGACGACAAGAATTATACGAAAGCTGAATCATTCGAATCTTTTGAATCATCTTTTGAATATCTGAATCATCCGAATGCTAAAAACTGCAGCTGGAAATTCTATCTTTATTAAAAAGAAGGTTTACCTGGAATTGTGTTGATCTTGCGATTCTGAATTAAAGATGTATTACACTTTTTGACGTAATGAAAAATCTACGAAAAATTATCAATTTTTTAAATATAATATTAATCTGTGAAAGTAATATAAAAAGTTTATAATTTAAAATCTGGATTATTAAAAATTATTCCAATAAGATGTAATCACGTTATTATTATAAAAAATAAGTAATGTAATGGAGAAAATTTTTATTTAAGTTATAAAATTGTATTGTTATATAGTCTTGGCTAAAAATATTAAATAGATACTTATATATTTTTCATTAATCTAAAATTTTCTTTTGCTTATATTGTTTCTTATTAATTACTGACATTATACATAAGTTTAGAGAATTTTCGAAACAAAAGATATTTCACAGCAAATGCCATACTTACATCAATTTTTAAACTAATGAATTGACTAATTTTTGAAGATCACTGGCACAAATAAAATCTTTCAGATTGCTAAAACAATTAAAATTATCCCGCCGCATATTTTCTTTCTTTCATTTTCGAATCACTGAATCGGTTGATCCAATTCACTATAGTTGCATCCGTCTGCATTGAGTCTTTTATTTGCCATGATATATCTTTTTATTCGCTTTACGCTCAGAATTTAAATCGAGTCGAGATAAACAGCGGTCGATGATTCTAATTAATGACTTAATTACACTTAATGTGTTACGCTAGGCAGCTGTTGTTTTGTTGTACTTGCGATTTAAGATTGATTCGCTTTTACCTCACACTTTCACGTACATAATTGCCGAATGTTTCCATATTCTACTAACGGGATATATATGTATACACTATTAAATATCAAAGGAGCAATAACATTTTGTTTTTCCATGTGTGTCAAAATGTAAATTAATTAATTTCTCTGGTTGAATTACTTAGTTTTGAAGTAAACAACGTTTATATTAACGTACAATATAATGTACTTAGCAAATAACAAATTAAATTTGAGTTAAGTTTAGTACATTTTTTTATTTAAATTTAATTCTATCTTTTTAGTTAAATATATTGATGACATGTTATACATATAATAGAAGCAGTGGCAATCTATAAAAATTATTAAAAATTACTCAACTTTCAGTAGAAGTATTTATAAACATAAATTTATTATTTCAAATTGACTATAATGAATTTATTAAACATTATGAACTTAACAGTATAGAGAAGAGATACGTGTCTACTGAAACCGTGAATTGAAATCCGAGGTGAGGGGAAATGACGCGTTTACAAGAGATTCTCACAATATGATAGCGTTGTCGCCAGTGATGGCTGTGAATCATACGTATGTAAATTACGTTGTAATCTTATAAGGTGGAGGTCAGTGCCTCGTATTGTAGCTTGCAGTGAACGCAAAGTTTCACGCAATATCTGCTTGTCGTTTCCTCTCAAAGTTGAAAACATATACACGGAAATCGCATGCTTATCTCTGGAAAAATATTTTTAAGATAGACTTGAACTCGCCAAAAGTAAACTCTTTCTCTTTGTTTCAGATTTAATCCATTGTACCAATGAACCGAATGTCTCCATACCGCAGCTCGCTAATCTCCTGATAGAACGTTCACAGAATACAAACTGGACGGTAGTCTTTAAAGCCCTGATCACCGTGCATCACATGATGTGCTATGGCAACGAGGTAATTATCTTACGGAAACTAATTTGATCTGCGAGACGTTCCAAATATCCTTCTGAAATGACTTTTCTATTTACAGAGGTTCACGCAATATCTCGCGTCCAGCAACAGCACGTTTCAACTTAACAATTTTCTCGACAAGAGCGGCGTACAAGGTGATTATTTTGTAAATAATCGTATCAGCAAGGCTTTTTTTGCGTTTTCCTCAGGATACCATAATATGTTCTAGAATTGACGGAAGCCAACGATACTAAGCATTATCCTTTTTAAAATTTTTACTGAGAGAAAAAATTGTTTTAATTAACACAATTTAACTGTAATTTTACATGTACTTTTGGCGTTCACTATATATTTTATGGTAAAATTACAAATATAATTATTATTATACATTGGCGCGTTTAGTAGAAAAAGATAGTTTTGCACATAGTTGCAAAGTTATTTTTTCTATTGAACGCAGTATAACAGTAATGATTATAAAAATATATTTCTCAATCATCATTATTTTTATTATGCAATTATAGTGATAATACTAAACATTTTTCTCAGTGCGAAATGAATAGTGTTATGTTATTTGTTGGCATCTCGTAAATTTATAAAAGAATAATTATCATTTTAAAACAAAATAAAATTCCAAATAAATATAAACATTTTCTTAAAAATTTTAAATATCTTTTGTGTCGTATTTAAAAAAAACTAATCTTTTAACCAATTTAGAATTGTAATTAATCTGGGAAGATTAACGTTCATTTTGCATATTAACAAAATTGCGATATGAATTCATCGCAGCACGAAGTGCACGGCTTTCCGCACTCTTGCTAAAAAAAATTGTTCATGACATTCAGTCATCATCAGAAGACTCGAGTGTCGATAATCGAGCAAACTGATACGCACGCATCACACAGAAAATTGCAACACGCTGTAATTTGAATAGCCGATCGTCGCGATTTCACGTCGAGAACAGGAGACCTAATTTTATTCACTGATTGGAGATCATTAAGCTTAATGTTAATCGAATGTTACATTAATCAGCAGCAATTATTGAATTGCTTAAATAATGATTACAAATTGTTTAAACGATACAAAACGATACTCCTCTGTTCCAATTAAAAATCTTTTAAAAAGTTTCTATGCTACTGATTTCCTCGCATTGTGTAGCTATTATCCATATGGAAAATGCAAATCTTTCTCTTTTCCATGTATCTATGGCATCTATGTGTACGATTTACTAACCTGGACTAACTTTCTATCTCTTTGGGCATGAAGCAGGAATACGTGTGGGTGAGTTCTAATCACAAACGTCCTTCTCATTGTACTATTAATGGTACTTATTAACCATGCTTCGTAGTTCTGTATGTGTTCATTTCTAACTTTGCGAGAACAAAAGAAATCAATGTACACTTTGTGAACCTAACTTTGTTAATCTATATATGTATCAATTGATGTGTTAATAATCACAACCAAATACTATAAATATGTGATCAGGTTTATAAGATGTTTGACAAAATTACAGTTTCCAATCAGCGCTGCACGCTTGTGTAATTTTATGAAATTAATGTAATTGTACCGGCACACTGCTGACTTTCTAATTTCACTTTTACGCATTGTTGCGTGGCGATGCCTATTATTGCTTTTGTTATGTCTACTGTATTTATTTTGAATACAAATGAGTAATTATCGTTCTATTCTGTACATCAGGATATGACATGTCGCCCTTCATCAGGCGCTACGCCAAGTATCTCAACGAGAAGGCTCTCTCCTACAGGACAGTAGCGTTTGACTTTTGCAAGGTGAAAAGAGGGTACGTGTTGAGAATATTTTTTTCTAGACCTTTTGAAATTTTATCTCGCTGTATTTAATGATAGACTTAACCTTCGTTACTTAATTGACATTGCAGGAAGGAAGACGGTACTCTACGCACAATGAATGCTGAGAAACTCCTGAAAACTTTGCCGGTACTGCAGTCGCAACTCGACGCACTACTGGAATTTGATTGCACGGCTAATGACCTCACGAATGGCGTCATAAACATGGCCTTCATGCTCCTCTTTCGAGATCTTATCCGGTTATTCGCCTGCTATAATGATGGCATCATTAATTTGTTAGGTAACGCTCAATAGTCTTTTTTTTTATAACATAAGAAACGCATATACAAAGATTCATGAGAATGGATTAATTAATCGGACGAAGGTTGTAAAATTTCAGAGAAATATTTTGACATGAACAAGAAACAATGTCGGGATGCTTTAGATATTTATAAGAAGTTCCTTATACGCATGGATAGGGTCGGGGAATTTCTGAAAGTTGCGGAAGTAAGTTACACGATCTGTATGTGAAAGCAATCAATGATGTTAAAGATAGTCATTGAACATGTTTTTTTTCCTTTACAGAATGTTGGTATCGATAAAGGAGACATACCAGATCTGACGAAGGTATGTATGCTTAAAGTATTGTTTATTATCTCCCTATCTCATTACACCGTTTAGAATAAGAGTTTGTTCAATTGTCTATATTTAATTACCGGTTTGAGGAACTATTAACAATGTGTGAACGAAAAAACTAATATTTAACCGATAAAGTATGATAATATTTTCATTTGTTTCTTCCTCTTACATTACTGACAGGTAATAACATCTTTGATTCCGTTATTTTAATGAGGTAGAGTTAGTGTGGCATAGCATAGAGCAGCATAGATAATTGGGCGATATTTATTTTGGGAGATTTTGTGAACCAATTACATTGTATATATATATATTTTTTTTTATTATGTTTTTTTAATACACGCGCATTATAAAAATAAGTGATATGATGAAGGTGACAAATTCTCCTAAATAAATGCATGTATTTTAGTGGAGACAAATCTCTTCTAGACTAAATGCACAGCTAAATTTTACTTTGCACTTAACTGAAAAATTTTAATAATGTTCCATAAATAATAGATAAACTGATTTTTTTAGGCACCGAGTAGTTTATTGGATGCTTTAGAACAACAGCTCGCTTTCTTAGAAGGAAAGAAGGGCTCCGCCGCGAACACGCCAACACAATCAGCAAGGTATGCCAACTTTTTTTATTTATTCGACTCATTTAAGTCTCACATAAAAATCGATGTAGGGATAATTTTAAATCTCCTATGTTGAATGCTATTGAAATCGATATACTTCTCCCTCTCTATATAACTTCCCAAGAGTCCACCGTTTTCGTCTCATTGTTCTTTCATACCCTATTATCAAAGACACGTTCTTTTACACATCTTTACAAGCTTCTTAAGCTATGAGTATTTAAATATTACGTTTATCGCACATGCACACGTAACAATTATGACACACAATTGCGTTTCTTTTGAGTACAATAAATTGATCATTGATCATTTTATATTCATAAAAATACCACTTTTACTTTTCTTAAACAAATGTCACAAAAGGTTTTGAAAGATAGCAACCTTAAATACTATCTTTGGACATATTTTCTCTTTGAATAGTTATCCAACTTGTAAAATTTGTCGAGATGGTATCCCCTGGATACGAGGTTATAATTTTCTCTGATATTTAATATTTAGTTATAGAATATTCAATTTACGTTTGTATCCTAACCTATTTTAGGTACCCATGCTATGCTCCTACATTTGGTATTTAATTTTGATATATATGTGTGTGTATTTCTCACTGAAAATCTGTAAATATAATTATTGCGCTATTCAAATCTATCGCTCTTGTATACTGCATGAAGTTACAATAATGTATTTAGATAATTGACATGTTTTCCTATAGTCTACTGATTATAATGGATACCGAGCATGCTATAATAAATCGTCAATTGAAATTAATAATATTGATGATTTAATTTTATTGCTTAAAATTTAATAATGAATAATGTTAATTGATGTGGCTATAATAGTAAAATTTGTTGGATATGAAATGGCATTTATTGTTCATTTTAATAAATATTTAACTCATTGAAGTACACAATCAGTATTAAAATAACGTTTCAATGCACATATATTTATCTGTATAAATCGCTTATTATCGTAGCAAATTCACCATACTTATAGTATGCTATTGAAAAATAAACAGTCTTTAAATCAATGTGTACTACATAATACAATTTGTTTAAATATACACAAGCCTGATGCCATGTTTCACTACAAAATGTAGAACACCTGTAAATGCATATGTATATTAGGACATTTAGTAAAAAAAAAGTTGTAAAAGAAGAGCGAGAGCGTGTGAGAAAAGTGTGTATGCGTGTGTGAAAAAGAAAAAGTATGCATGCGAGCGTGCGAGTGGTAATGCACACTATGCATTTCTACGCATTGTTACATCTATACGTACTACACCGTTTGTTTTTTGTTTTTTTGTTTGTCTCTTCTCCTTTGTTTTCAATTATCAATTTTCCTTTACGCTCCTTTCTCTCTCTCTCTCTCGCCACATTTTACGAACTCGCTGAAACGGACCTTCCGTATTCTTCTTGTCCGTCCTCTTTTTCTCCATCCATCGACACCACAACATCCTATCATCGCCCAAAAGCAGCAATAGAACCAATGTAAAGTCGGGAGTGTCCGCCCTGTCTTCCACCAGTAACGCGTTCGGCACAGCAGCCAGCAATGCGCGGCTCGAGCAAACCGGGAATGGCCACATCGACGAGGCGTTACGACAGCAAGCTCTCGCGGAAGAGGAAGCTGCCATGAATCAATACAAGGTACTAGTTTGCAAAGTATTACTAATTATAAATTATAAGAAGAGAAACGAAACTTTGATAGATGGAAGAATTTTAGTTTGCGATGCTACTATCATTCAAACGTATTAATTTTCTATTTAAGTTTCAGATTTTTCAGTATTCGTTTGTTTTGTTTTAATTTCTTCTTTCATTGCAATTCCCTGCATATGTTAGTATATTAATCTCTAATGTATATGTTGCAGGCAAAAGTACAATCGCCGTCAAGTACTAGCACGAATCCCTTCCTCAGTTCGCCGACCAATAATGCTAATCAACCGATTGTGGACTTATTTGGTGCAGCATCAGCCGAGAACCAGGTAAATCTATGTCTTTCATTTGACAAGTGGTCTGTTTTTTTTCAAATAAATTTTTTGCATGTTCATTTTTTCTCTTTTTTTCTACGATGCACTGTGGGTCAGGAGACCCCAAAAACTGGCCAAAAGTGGCCAAAAGTATTAAAAGTGCTCTAATTGTTGTTAAATTGATTATTCAGGGATTTTCGAGGTCGTTGATTTCGAATCTGAACTCAAAATTTAGAAATTCAAAATGGCGGATCCAAAATGGCAGAATAGAATTATATGTGTAAAGAAAAATTATATGTGTAAGAGAGCATGGATATGTGCCAGAAGTATGCGTCGCGCATTGAGGTTTGACATTTTTTTAAACATTTTATTCCGCCATGTTGGATCCATTATTTTAAATTTCTAAATTCTAAATTCGGATTCGAAATCAGCGACTCCAAAAATCCCTGAATATCAAATTTAACAGCAAATAAAGCATTTTTAGTATTCTCGTTCGCCATGTTAGATCCATCATTTTTAATTTCGAAATTTTGAGTTTGAATTCGTAATCAGTGATCCCAAAAACCCTTAGATACCGAGTTTTATGCCAATCCATCAACATTTTGAATTTTGGCCAGTTTATGGGGTCTCCTGGTCCACAGTGCTATGGAGAGAAAAAAAATGAGAGATAAACAGTATAAGTTTAGCCGAAAAGAACAGTTTTCCATTTGAAGCGAACTAATCAACTATTGTAACAACAGTCGTCTCAAAAGGCATCGGATGATCTACTGCAGTTAGCGGGCAATCCGTTCGCGAACATGTTCGGAGCGCAACCAGCTTCAGGAACGACGCAACCCGCTGCTCAAATGCAGAACAACATGTGGATGACCAACGGTACTGGTGAGCACGAGCACTTAAAAATCGATATAGTTTCAGTGATCATCGCTGCTTCTCTCGTCACCGCGCTTGTTTATGATATTTTTTCCCCCTTTTATTTTAATTCATTTTCTTTCATTTTTCCATTTTATTTTTTTTCTTTTAGGTTTCACGCCAACTGCGCCACCAGCAAATAATAACTTTGTTACAGATAATAGTTTTTCCTCCGTATTCGGAAATCAAGATCAGCAATCCAGTAAGTGCTTCACTAGCGACATAAACATAAGACGGGATTATATGATATTATACGAACGCATTCATACGATTGAGGAATTCCATTCACTTTCGTTTTCTTTTTCTCTGCCAGTCTTTATACATCTTTCTTCTTCTTTCTATCGTAGAATTTTTTCGGCCATTTTTATGATACTTTTGCATCATACATCTTATACATTTTTTAGATACTTAGTACGCCTGAGCAATCACACTTGCTGTTTAACGCTATGGGCAAAAATGTATCGAATGAAACAGCGTTTATAAACAGTGTTTATAGTTACAAAAACAGTTTTGTTACTGTACACAATAATTGTAATGGCCATGTTCAACAGAATGTTTATTTTGCAACTATTGCGGAAGTTGTTTTCTTGATGATTTGATTATATTTTGAGAAGGAATAGAATTCTTAGCGATAAAAACTTTAAATCATTGCAAAATAAACATTTTGTTGAATGTGGCCAATAATAATTTACTTTATTCTTTTAATTTTTTAAAATATTGTGGTAACTAATAAGCGCTGGTTATTTGATACATTCTCAAAGTGTAACGTTGACGCGCGACATTACAAAAGAATGCAACCGAGCTACATTGCGTTAACATTGCATTTGAATATTTCTTTTTTTCCTCTTTAATTAACGTATTAACGGGTGACGGTATAACAATTGTAAAACATTTTATATTATTACTTCGTCCGGACGCAAAAGAGGAGGAAGCTAATTTATGCACCTTGATCACTTTTTGCGCAAGCTGGCGCCCCAGGAACGGCCGCGTCCGTACCTAATCCCTTTATGTCCGATTTCCCATCCCTCGGTACCACCGGCGGCCAGCAGGCGACGAACGCGGGTGCCTTCGGGCTCTTCGATCAGAACGCCGGTGGCGTTGTTAGCGGTGAATCGGTACAAGGAGCGCAAACGGTAGCAGCCGGAGACCTTTTCAGTGCCGGTCAGACGGATCTCTTTGGGGGTGACGGGTCCGCCGCTGCGATGAGGACACCCGCAAACGGCGGCGACGGGGATGCTGCGGCGGCCGAGGTGGTGGCGTCGGCGGCGCCTTCAGCCGCCGGCAAGACATCGTCCACGGCTACGCCGCCACCTAGACCACCGCCACCCGCGACCGCCGTTGCTGCCGCGAACGGTGCCGCACCGCGTGCACTGTCTCCGACACACGGAGCGTCACATGGTAGGCCAGCGGTGGCGACGGCGCCAACAGCGGCAGCGGCCCCGGCCCCTTCTGCTGGCAAGAGCGCCTTCGATGATCTCAACGATAGTATCCGTATGGCACTGGGTGGGTCTCCGTCGCGGCCGGCACCCATGGTCCAGCAGCAGCAAGCTGCAATGACCGCCCAACAGCAGCCGTTGCAACAACAAATGCCGCCGGCTGCGGCGGCAGGCGCCGGTATGTTCGGCATGAATGACCCCGCGACCGGGCAACCCATGATGGCCGGTGCGCCGATCGTCGGCTATGGTATCCCTACCCAAGCCCAAGTCCCCGTGGGGTACGGTTCGCCGGCAAAGCAGCCGATGTCAGGTGACGGGAATGTCTAAACTAATCCACGCTAATAGCATGATAATCGCACTCGCTGTACCCTGCCGACTTAAGGTCTTCCTTTATTTTTCTTTTTTCTCCTTTTGTGTATGTGGCCTAATTGCGTCGCGATATCGCATCCTAACAACGTGAAAGTCCACAAGGTATCTAGAAAACATATAGATTTTTAAAATACAATCTTCAGATATTTGTAAGATGTCTTTTGGACTTTTGTATTGTCCAGGAATTGCCTTTTCAATTTATATATATTATCCGATCAGTAAGATGTATTGAGTATTTATACTTACGCACGTGAGAGCATTAGATAATTCTGATTAATTTTAACATTTTCACGAGTAGATAAGCATGCCTTTCTCTCTCTCTCTCTCTCTCTCTCTTTCTCTCTCCCTGTGTGTGTTATTTATAACATTCTAGATATCGTAAAAATTATTGAAGACAAATAGACTATGACGTCACTTTGCTTAAGTATACTCATAAAACACGATAACCTCTGATCGTTACTTCTTTTTCACGCATAATTTGCAATTCAATTTGCTTACAACAATCTGCATGTTCGTAATATTAATTGTACAATATAAGTACATAACTTTGCATTATTTTGTTTAAAGAATTAATAGCACGCTGTTATAAAGATTTTAACAACAGTTTTGGATCCTTTGAGATCAAATCCCTTAATTTTCTAAATCAGGAAATTCACTTAGCGATTACGCTTAATTCTTTAAATTTATAAATTTGTATAAACTGCGCGATTTATTTTAAATTTTAATTTTATATTCGTATCTTTGCTTAACGTAGATGTTGTTTAGAAATTTTGATAATGTGATGCTAGTGTCCACGAGTACCTTGAATTTAATTTTATTTCAGCTGGGCAACCGGTCGGTGCAGCCAACACCGGCAAAGTCCTGACCGGAGATTTGGACAGCAGCTTAGCTAGCCTTGCGCAAAACTTGACCATCAATAAGAGCGCACAGCAGCAAGTCAAGTAAGTGTGATTATATTTTTATTTATGAGCGATTCCATTTTCAGAGTTATGTAAATTTGAATATATTTATGAGGATGATATAATAATAGATTCACATAAATAATTCATAAAATAACAATAATATCACGCTCGAACAATTTTAAAAAACAACAATCAATGTACGACCTTTACGAGCAATAATTAGATCTTAAAAATTAACAATTCATAATATTCATATTTAATATAATCTTACAAAGACATCATACATGCATTTCATACATCAATTTCAAACGTTTCGGCTACACAGAGCCTTCATCAGTGAATTACAATAGTCTCAAATTAAATGGAACCCTAATTTTCGGTAACAGTTAAATAATGTATAACCTTCTTTATTGGTGTCCTTCTACTTTTCAATCCACAATAGTCTCAACATCAATATAGTCATATTAAAATCCAAGTGTTAGAATTTGATCGTTTAAATGCGAGAAATTCAATTATGTCAAAATATTGTCCATTATTTTAAAAGCTTCCAAATTAAAAAGAAGAAGAGCAACGTCAATTAACATGTTAAAGTATCTCATGACAACAATGTAATTCATAAAATGTTCCGAAGCTGAGCTTATGTAACATGTGAAGCAACGAAATATATAAATATTCTTCCTTTACAGAGGAATGCAGTGGAACTCACCTAAGAATGCCGCGAAAACGGGCGGTCCAGCCGGCGGATGGTCACCGCAGCCAATGGCAGCTACTACTGGTGCTGGATATCGTCCCATGGTAAGCCTTTTTATTTTAATTCCGTTGTCGTAAAGTATTTTTAGCATGTTTCTTCTGATTGTCAATACACTAAGATACACCACACACACGCACACACACACACACACACACACACACACACACACACACACACACACACACACACACACATACACACACACACACCCACTCATCCACTATTTTTATGCATTATTTTCAAAGAACAACAGCTCCTGTGATGAGAATTCTCGATTATTTTTACTTACAATTAGAATCGTAGATTATTAACTATTTGTTTCTTACGGTATTGTTTCAATTTTATCATGTCGTAGGAATTCTACGCGGTTAGTAAATTATTTTAGCTTATTAGCAATCTGCTAAGTGCCTAGCATTCTCGTTTAGCTAAACACGTTGAGCTAAACACTTTTAGCTAAACATGTTGAGATGTAAGTTTATCATTGCCACCTCGTCCATCGTGGGACTCTGCTCTCTTCGTAATACCGTAACAACAATTTTCTCCTCAATTAGCACCGTTTAGGTGAGTGCGTTTTGCATGCACAGCATATGGCATGTTATTGACTATGTTACAGGGCCAAGGAATGACGCAACTGCTACCTACAACCACCACAACTATAGGTTTCCCCTCGCAGCCTGCGATAATGGTAAGTCCCACGATCACGAATGCCTTTGTTTCATGTGCAACGAATAAGACGTTCAACACAATAAAGTGCCAAACTTATCTCACCTCACCGGTTTCTGTATACAAAAGAATAGCGTATAATAACACGAATTGTCACTAACTCACTCTGTTAATAATGACAATAGTTACACAAATCGTATAATGACCTTTATTTCATGTGGCAAAGCGACGAATTGTCGGGAGATGACAATTCGATTCGACACCTCGTTCCATTTCCTCGCATTATGTGCTTATGCATCGATATGTACTTTTAACGCACGTTTCAAGAATGTAGTAAACTATACTTTATCGCAGTTATTTATGTTCCTATAGATTAATTTTCAGATTAATACCTCCTTATACTTGGCTGTAATTTGCTTGCGGTGTTAATCTATAATGTAGACAACATAGATAAGTTTTAGGATTACACAAAGCGCGGACGTGTATAAATATTTATTACACCGATGTACAGGTAACATATATTATAGAATAGATTAAGCTACATTAGATTTTCTGCGAGAAAAACGTCGTAAATATAAAAAGAAAATGAATCGAAGAAGAGACTAATTTTGTTTGAAAAAAGTACTTATAATATTTTATATTATAGAATATATACTTGTGATGACATTTCTTTTAAAACTAATGCGGTTACCGTAGTTTTCAGAGCAATTCATGGGATAAAATAAGAAGATCTCTAATAAGGGAATCATCGGAACCGTGCCTCACCAATTTTGATAGACTTTGGATATGTTGTAGAGCATCAAAAAGTATTAAATCTATATTTGTCTATTTATATCAATGATCGAAACAATTGCAAGTAGAAACAAATTAAAAGATTTAATATTTTTGAAAAATATGAATATGCAGTTATATGTTAACAGTATAAAACATCACAAAACTTTGGATAAAACATTTTTTATATTTTTCAGTTTTAAAGATATTCGTTATAAATACAAAATTCCATTATTTTTGAGAGATTATTTCAAATCTGGAGATAAGCAGATAAATCAATATGAGTTTAATATCTTTCATTGTTCTACAACACAAATAAAGCTTATAAAAATTAATAAAGGACAATTTCGATGGTACCCTTCTAAGTGTTTCTCTTCTTCCTAGTCGCTGCTTAAATTTCAATTGTTTACATAATGTAAAAAGAATGATCAATCGGTCTGATGATTATTTTGATATTAAAGAAGACGTTAGGTTTCGCAGGCACACGCTTCCTTTTGTACATACGTCTCATTTCTCTCGCTCTCTGGTGTCTGTAGGGTATGCAAGGTATGCCGATGGGTATGCAGGGTATGCAGGGTATGAGGCCGATGATGTGTACTATCCCAGGTGCTTCCGCTGCCGGTGGCGGTATGATGGTTGCGGGAGGAGCTGCGCCTATGATGGCCATGCCCGGTGCGAATCCTATGATGACCGGTCCTAATTTACAGCAACAACAACCTCAACCTGCTGCAGCAGCTCAGCCACAAGGCAATGCTGTCCAACTCGATCCTTTTGGTGCTCTGTGAAGGGATTAGGTACCTACCTTCACTTACCATTCTATTGTGTCATTGCTAAAGATGTCGTGGCGTAATAATAGAATGATCTGTGATAGAAACGCGTGCCGATTAAAGATAACAGGACAATCTGCAACTTTGATTATGTTCCCGCATTAAAACTGAATTTCCTTCCTCGCATTTTATCGAGAAATCTCGAGAATGACTTAGAGAGTTTTATCAAATTTTATTAAATTTTGTTTAGGCGAAAATTGGACTTGCTGCTGTAATTTTGTGTAATTGTATATTTTATTTCTTAAATTTGAACTTATTGCATTTACGTACAAATGATCTTATATATTTTTAAACAGTTTAAATAAGTGTCGCTCTATGCTGAGGATTAATGTATAGTAATCTTTGTGACTTATATATTTGTGATTAATAATTAATAAGTGTCTTGTAACATTCAGCTCTTGAAGATTTCCGAATTGTTAACCTTAAAGATAATCTATAATTTGGAACAAAATTTAAAAAATTCTTTAATTTATGTGCTAAATTTAATGTAATATTGTTATTATATATATATATATATACATACAGTTATTTTATATATATATATATATATATATGGATACACATATATACAGTGAGTATGTTTTCCAAAAACTGTAAATTAATTATTAAATTTATTATCACACAGTATGCATTTTTGTATAAAAATAGAACTTAATATACTTTTTATTTAGGATAAAAATGATTTGTATTAAATTATATAAATATAAATCTTATATTTAATTCTATCATGAATTATAGATTGTCTAAAATGGATTGTATAATGAACAAAACTTGATTGCTTCGTGTTACTAATAATGCACACGTTCACCTCTTCTCTATCATTACGCAGCATCAGTCTGATGATCGATGCTACTCGCAACGAAACGAAAACATTCCAAGATTAATCCTTTCCATGTAAATATCGATTATTAGTGACTAAAAAAATAGATTATTATTATTGTTACAATAAGTTGTTATATTAAGTTAAATAATTTTTTTATTTAATATGACATTCCATATTTGTACTAAAGCAGATCATAAATGACTGTTCCAGGATTCCAAATGGAATTAAGAAGATGGAGCAACATTTTGTAAATATCGTGTAATATGCCTAGAAAGAAAAGAAACAAAGCTAATGTGTCCCGCTTTTTTCTGTTAGACCCAATCAATCTTGATTGTCACTCGAATCGTCTCACTATAAATAGGAGTCGATAAATTGTATCATACTTCCTGTAATATGCTCGCCGAGTATGCAACACATGTTATTCCGATATAGCGTCCTTCCCACGAGCATTAGCAAAAGTTAAGTGTTGTTTAAGTGAATATCTGTCTACTTTTTTATGCAAAAAAAGGGGACAAATTGAGTCTGAATTGCGCGTAGACAGGGCGCTTATCTCCGCCTTGAAGTCCCATAGCTGGGCATAATTATGTAGCTTAGATAAGAGTTGTTCGGAACGCGAATTGCGTTTAGAATGACACGAACGTGCGTTGAATTTCCCTGGCGAGGATTAACTGTGATAGTACTGCGCCGTGTGTTGCGCTGAACAGTTTTTCTTCGTTGACACGTCAAGTAAGCCTATTGTCGAAGAGATGCATTTTCTAAGTTCGATGAAAGATTTCCGTAATTACGTAGCGATATTTAGGTACGACTTAGTTTTTACATTGGAGGAGAGAGAGATTGTACATCCGATAGAGAGGTTGGTAAGAGCGCATTATCGAATACGGTGAAGACACTTGGTTCGTCACGGTTCTAAACGTATTCGCGTTAGATTATATTCACGTAGCTGACGATTGCACATACCAATGTTCGCGTTAAACGTTAAGGAAGGCGCAAGACCGAAAAAAATTGAAATAAAAATCGCATCGGGCATATCCTCTTTTATTGTAATATAATATATATATTATTCTGTGAATGTACGGATATGTAATTTCGGGATGATGCGAGGAAGAGAGAGAAAGACAGTTTCGAGGAAATTCTTTCGTCGAAGTATTAAATATTAAATACGATAAAGAGATACGATAAAAATATAACACACACACAATATAAATATATATATATAATTATATATATAATACATACGTACATATATATTTATAGGAAGAACAATGAAACGAATAGATGGACTCATTAAATGTTCTTTATCTGTATACTGTTCGTGGATATCTTAATTAGATAGATAACCAAGTACGTTAAACGAGTTAAGGCCAGAACACTGACGCAACGCAATTACGAATACAACGTGAATCCTACATGATTCAAGCATAGTACTATCGATGCAGTCAATATCCAGCGTTGCGAGTGTTCCATTTTGGGATTTTGTCGGTACATCCTCGATTTCCGTCAAATTATAAATGTCATAACTGAATACGGTGAAATTCTATCGATATATAGCGTGTATATTGTATAACCGATTATTTATCCGCGGTTGCTCGAATTTAGATCTGAACTGCGGTCGAAAAAGGAAAGGGAGAGGGACAAGAGAAAAGTTAGAGTCCATGTGACGATATATATGCGGCGTGTGCAGTACTAGTCGACAGAAAGCCCATTGTAAAAGATTGCAACGAGACGCAATTCTCGTGAGCGATTGACCAAATTAAGTATACATATATAATAGGCGATCTTCGGTTATCTCGTTAAAACAATATTTTTGTTTTGGCTTCGCACACATCCCGGATAGTGTTTATCGGTCGTAGATTATTACATATATATGCTCTCATTTCTGATATTGTTTATGTTTTTCTTTCGCGGTTTCTTCTATTTATTCTCTTTACGCTACGTCTCGCACGAAAGAGGATTGATAAGATCGAGTTTTCCAATGCCGATTGGTTTGATTCGAGATTTTCAATTTTTTTTTCTAGATCGTGATATCTTGCTGATGTAATCATAAATAGCGACGTAAAGTCTAGTTGACTACAATTTATGCTAGTTGGTATTGGTAGAACTGGTCCCTCGAGAGACTGTAGCTAATACTGTAGGATACTGAGTTTTTATATTGATCATGATTTATGCGAATATTTTCTACTGCTCTTAACATTTTTTAAAGAGTATATTAATCATTTTCATTTTCCTCGTGTCGATATCTTCAATTCCGCCAGCACATACGTAAATTGATGAGTATAAATAGCTGTATACAAATTAATGGGATAGTTGAAAGAAAGTTTGCCGAGTGTGGTGGAAGGAAACGAATATTTCTGTAAAATCGATTTGTGTGAAGTGAGAAAAAGTTAATAGCATTACTTGGGCGGATGCAGATGCAGATGTAGATGCGAGGCGGAGGAAGCGGTCAGATATATCCTCGGGCTTATTATCAATGAATACGCTTCCCTTCCTCATCGATGTATATTTCCATTTTTCGTTCGTTCATTCTCTCGATTAATTTCACTCTTCGCATAGTCGGGACGTATTTTTGTATAATAAAATATGAAATGTATAGGATCTTCTCTGAGCGTAATCGGCCGCCGCGGGGACAGTTAGTTAGTCTGTAAAATCGGTAGCTACGAGTCGAGCCTCGACCGCAGAGATCGCGCAGAGTTCTTCAAGGGTCGCTGGTAGCTCTAGAACGACGACGCGAGTCGACTCCATTATTATTAATATATTAAAATTAATATTAAATATAATATTAGTTATTGATAATATTATTAATATATTAAAATTAATATTAAATATAATATTAGTTATTGATAATATTATTAATATATTATTACTAATATTATTTATCAAGCAGGAAGAATTCATGCAGTTTTATCACAGATATCTTTATAGAAAAACTCTAGCAGTAGAGTTTGAGAACTAGAACTGAAACACGTTAAGAAAGTACACGCATTCTGACTTCAATGCACGCTTTATGAATAAATCTAACTTATTGTTTTATCTCTAAAAGACGCATGACATTCTTCGCTTATCTCATACGGTCATTCGAATGGAATTAAAATATTCCATCGTATTTAAATATCTCTTGTTCACTTCACTTCGTTGTACAAAAGCTCATTTTCTTTATTTTCGTCCCGTTTGATCGACATCGCGCCTAAAGCTATCGGCGACCGAGCGCAACAGGACAATATTACGTAAATATTATTATCATATAGGAAGGTGTGTAAGATGAGATAATCCAATTATATTCTATCTCTTTCGCTGTAAACTAAAAAGATTCTTGTCGCAACTTCTTACCCCGGCAAATATAGTTTAGATAAAATCTCCTGGTCGCATAAGGATACACACTGTACATTGTACACTGTATATTATTAGTATTTATGGAAGGGATTATTTATCGAAAGTAAGACGGTCGAGCTGAGATAACAAGAGAAAGAGCTAGAGAAAGTGAAAAAAATCGACACCACATCGTAGTTTTCTTTTTCATTTTAATCTAATAGAGATGCCTTGTTGTTGCTTCAAGAACGGCTTGTCACACTTCTCGTTTTCTCATTAGAGAAAGACACCGAGAGAGAAAGTGCAGAGTCTCCTAGAAAGGGCTTTACTGTTATTTAGTTTTAACATAATTCCATTTGTGCTCTTGCGTGTGCATATATATATAGAAAAAATGCGAAGAAAGAGAGAGAAAGAGGTCATTAATTATGAGACGAGATGGTGATTCTAATTCAAAACGCGAAAATAATTTTAAGATACGCGTACATGCGCGTATGCGATAATTTGCAAAATCAGTCATTTTGAAAATTATTTGTAAAGTCGTATATACATTTATATATATATATATATATATATATTTATTTTATAAATATACACAATTCGCGCACAATCTCCTATAATGTAATATATAAGTTATCAAATTTGTTATGTCCTTTTTTTCTTTTCTGTTTCTCTTTCTCTCTTTCCTTTTCATTATACTTTTTTATTATACTTTTTTAAAAATAGTTTATTATGTTTTTAGAAAATTTGATTGTAATTTTGAGTAATTGTAAGTAGAAAATTATTGCTTGGATCTATTTACGCTGTAAATTGAGTGTCTAACGAGATTAAAACGTTTAATAAAAACGAATGCGAATGGGAACGTTTATCGTCGAAGCGGAAAACCGTCTACGTTGTAATGATATTATGCAATATAATACGTATGCATATACAACGATGTATTATTATTGTCGATTGTTACTCGTGGCGCTGATTATTAGTGGCGGTATGATGGCTCACCGCTGTTAATATGATTTTGATAATAGGGCAGGAACAATCTGAGATCACAGTGTGAGCGCGCATGACGAGCCGACAATGCCTTCTCGTTGTACAAATGTTGAGGGAGATAAAGGAATGAAAGAAATGAAAGAAAATCGTAAACCGCGATTGTGGTGTCAGAGTATCTTTTGGTGGCGTATAGCTTTATAAGATATGAACACAAATCAGCATAGTCTTTGTTGTAATAGGAAAAAAGAGAAATGAAAGAATATACGTAGTGATCCGTAGGTAGTGCAAAGAAAATTATATATATATATATATATATATATACACATATATATATGAAATATGTGCTACATGCACACATCAAAATTATGCGTGTGAAGCATAATCGAATGGCGATTAAAGTCGTGATTTGGACGAGATTGAAATATCTAAATCTAGATAATTGGATTGGAGAGTTATAATTGATATGGATTAAATGAATTAATGATTGATAATATAATTAAAAATTTATTATATTATTTATTTCTTTGAATATAAATTCTTTATACATATTTTGTATGTTTCAGAATCATGAGACGTCTTTTCAAATATAGATTATAAAAAGTAAATCAAGGAAAATCATAGTTTGATTAAATTTGATGAATATCTTTTTCTCAAGAAAATAAAAAGAGTAAATAACGATATTTTGGCATTTAATCTTCAGTGTATTGTAACAGAAAGTTTAATTAGAAATTTTTATTTGGAAATTAACAATTTTATAAATATACTGGTTGAATATATTATAGAAGATTATTCTAAATTTACTTATTTTCTATATAGTCTGAAATGACATTACATGATTTTGTAAGAGTCGAGCAAAGATGCAACTACTGCGACTTTGTTATTTGTTGTAGTATTGTTGTAGTATTGTTTTTTGTGATATAAGTTTTCCCTGATAGCAAAGCCTGCGGAAACAGATTTGGAGCAGAACATGCTGACAATGTTCGATTGCAAATTGGCAACAAATTGTAGACAGAGTCTGTATTGTCAGCAAACTCTGTTCGGTTTTTGCTACCAATCTGCTGACATGCTGTCAACGTCTGCTAACAAAAACATGTCAGCAGACGTTGACAGCAGTTTGGCAGCAGTTTATTACCCTGATAGCAAAATGATGCCAATTTGCGCGTAAATTGGCGGCAAACTCGATCAGATCTTGACTACAAAACCGTAGCCATCTGCGTCCGCATTTGGCTATGGATTTGGCGACAACATTTGCTGACATGTTTTGCAGCAGATTGGTGACAAAAACCGAGCAGAGTCTGCCGACATGATCTGACAGCAGATTGATAGCAAAAACCGAACAGAGTCTGCTGACAATATTTGGTAATACGCAGACTTTGTCTACAATTTGTTGCCTTTCTGCAATCAAAAATTGTCAACAAACTCTGCTCGGTTTTTGCAACCAATCTGCTGCAAAACATGTCACTGTCAGCAAATGTTGTCGCCAAATCCATAGCCAAATGCGGACGCAGATGGCTACGGTTTTGTAATCGGTTTTGCTATCAGGGTTTACAAGTAGATTAATAGAGAAAAAAGTTGTTTCTTTGGCATTGCTGTGGAAATGTATTTGTCTCTCTGTTGTCTCGTCCGAATTGGATGATTATAGTCGTCATGTGGTCGCTTGCTTTCACATTTGACCATATAAACACGTGCTTGACGATGATCAAGGGCAAGCGCGAAGTAATATCATTATCCTGCGTTCAAACAATAACGAAAGGGACCGCTCTACTTTCTATAGTATATCCGGCGTTTAAAGTAGCATGCGACGTTATTGGATAGAGGAGTATATACAAAGAAAGACGGTTTTGCTTCCGAGCGTTGGAGAAGTACAGCTTGAAGTCTTTTATTCCGCTTACTCATCCCTATGTGGTGCGTTATTTAAGGGAACGGCACAGGGGACGGCGACAAAGATCGAGAAATGCAAGCTTTTGCTACGCGGAGCGTATTTATTGGACAGAATATAATAACCAATCTAATCTTGGAAAATTCAGACATCAATGCTGCGTAATCGCCTGACAATGATCTCTGTCTTTGTTTGTGTTTAAGGAAACACAATGAGACACGTATTCCCACGTTGCAGCATTGTAATTCGATCTTTCTCAGATTACATCGGTTTACATTTACAATATTTGCTATTTATGCTTGAAATTCGATGTATTCGTTATATGCGCGTTCCAAGAGTTTTTAACTATTGAGGCCGTGCACCGAGTTAAGTTTGGCATGTTTTCTACTCGCGTAAAGCGCAACATGAATAACATAAGTTATGTCGAGTGAACGGGACGTCTCTTGAGAATGGCGCTGCGGAAAGAATACACATTCCAGAAAGCGTTTTTCCTCCATTTCGCGGCAGGCACTGTTCAGTGCACGTTGTATGTTAATTAATTTTGCGAATCAAATCTCTAGTATGCCATAATCTCGTTTCGTTCCGTTGTTTTTTACACCCTTCCTCGTCCACCCTCAAGTGCAAATAATGCAAACGATATCGAACGATGTTTAACGTTTGATGTCTGCGTATATATTGATAATAATCGTTGCTGTAGATTCTCTTTCGAGAGAAGTAATATACTTATATTGAATTATTATTTACGATTATTATTTACGACATACTTTATATTATATTATCATTAATGCCAATTACACTGCAGATATGTTGTTGTAATATTTACTATGTAGCACATCAATGGCGTTTAATAGAGAATATTTATTGAAATTATTTACCATAAAACAGAAGTTATATATACCTTAGTTATGTTAAGAACCTGTTAACTAATCGAATTATCATTATCCCATTATTATCCTGAAAATTTTTTTGTATCAGTAAATCATAGATAAATTATTTTGTCATACAGGACCTCTTAATTTATCACAATTACTACGGGATCAAAAAGCGAATAGCTGCAAACAACTATTATAAATCTTATTTTTTTTTAATATCCTTGCATTATTTTTCATGGTTAAATTGTTTAGAAGTATATATTTGATAGTACATGTGTGTTTGTCTGTAAAAAATTTGAACATACAAAATTTCATATATAAAGGAAGATGTTAAAAATCGGCCGGTTTTTAACATCTCCTTTTACAACGAAGGGATTTTAAAAAAATATCTGCGTCATCTAATTTTATGTCCTGGAATAACACATTTGTAACTTTTTTTGTTACTAACAAAAATAGTCAAATATTTGTTGTCCAATTTCGTGTAATGCATTGCATAACTAATACTGACTGATGTATGTATAGGTTTTCCATAATGGTTTTAACGAAATAATAAAAAGAAATTTGCAAAATCCGGCAATTTTCTTTAAATTATTGTCTCTCTTTAATTTTAAAAAGAAAAAAGAATAAAGATAGAGAAAGTATAATTAAAACAATTATTTTTTAGTACTTTACTCGAGGTGTAATGAGATTAAATGATTCACATCACTTATTATGAGATTTATAGAAATTAATCCAGGTCACACAATTAGATGATTCATATTATACTGTACATTAAGTATATTTCACGTTTATATTTTTCTTTAGAATTTACCCAATCTATACTATTCGTCCGTATTCCCTCTGTTTCAAACAAATCTTCCAAATCAACTAAAAATTTACATGGGGTTGAAAATTTTTTACAATATATGTAAGAAAAATTTTTACGAGTTTTTTAATTTTATGGAAAAATATAAGGAAGTATTTAAGTTATATATATATTTTTTTTAATAATATAGTAATAATTCGAATAACAGATTCTACATTTAAACCATTAAATTAAAATATTAAATTAAAAGGAAAGAAGAAGGAAGCATATTATTATATAGGTACTATCTTAAAGTGACATAAAATTAAAGATAATTAAAGTATATTATCTAATGTATTCTCATAACATACCGCAGTAAAATATATAACAATACAAAATTGATTTAACATTAAAACTTATCATACTCTCTGTTATAACATTACCTGTTAGTAACTCTAAAATTATATATAACGAATTAAATTTTTTAAATTTTGTTTTTACTTATCTTAGCGTGATAAATTAGTTTTCCTGATGATCATTAAAAGCTTAACTTAGCACTCATATTGATCTAGCTCGCTAGCACGCATAACTTTTATATACATATGATAGTATTTAATTGATTTAATATACATACGGTTAAAGAAGTTTTTATGACGATGAATTGCTAAATAAATTTTTTAAGTATTTGGACACTGATAAGCATTTATTGAATTTTATAATAATGTTTTTATTAATTTTATATATTTTTATGTTTATATTAAATTTTATATATTTTTAACACAATGACATAATTAATTTACCATCCATATTATAATTCAACGAATTTTTAGGCTCATAACTCTGTTTCTTTTTATTATTTTTTAAATTTATTGAGCCTTATTATAATTATATATTAATTTAATTATCATAATTCCACCATTAATCATGAAAGTTTTAAACAAAACATACTATATAAACGCATAAATTATCCTTTATTTTACAAAATTTTAAATTATTCTATTTAAATAGTAATGAAATTAAAATAAAATAAATATAAAATTTAGACAATAATAATGAACCTCGTCTGAGAGTTGTTGGTGAGCTTCCAGAAAAAGGCCGCCTTCCAAGTGTATTATTATTATTTATTATTAAATATAAAACTTATTTTAAATACCGAATTATTTGAGACCGTTATTCACTTTTACTATTAATTTGTAATCAACATATCATCCATTCTGGTTAAACTAGTTAGAAGTATATTTTCGGTGGTACACGGTCCATCTGTAAACATTACGAATGATATGTGAATATAGTACATCAAAATATTAAGATAGTGTTCTATAAGAAAAAATGTATATATGTATAATAATTTATAAGAAAAATATATAAAAAGAACTATGAATATGTATATTAATTACGTAGAATAATACATTTTTAGTTATTTTACTATAAAATTTAAAAGTTTGTAGTTTGATTTCGAGTAACGTATCTCGTAAATCGTAATAATGCGAACAGAGAGTTATTAATGTAATATATAAAATATAAATATATAATAATATAATATATAAAATAGTGTTATAATATAATATATAAAATATAAATATATAATAATATAATATTTAAAATAGTGTATAATATAAAATATAATAGTGTATAATAGTGTATAATATAATATATAAAATAGTGTAAAAAAACGATAAAAAGGATATGAAACTATAAAATTTGAAAACACTTTTTATTAAATTATATTGCTTATTTAATTCGTTTTAAAGAGAAAAAAGGAAAGAGAAGATTAGATTAAAAAAGTATTTAAATAACGTTTTTTAAAATATAATATAATGTAAGCACGGTATTAAAGTACAATGCAATGGCGATTAAACGATTTAGTACTTGTTTCAAGGAATGTAAAAATTAATACATATTAAATTCATTTCGTATGTTGAATGTTAACAAAATGAATATGTCTCTGGTTAAAACTTACTCAGTTGATACCACAGATCCTTATTTCCTGAATCTCTTCTAGCAGAATTCAATGCTTTGCGAATCGCTATCGGAATTACACAACTCAAACAAAGCGGTGGTTCATCGATTACTGCAAAGATATTTTCAGAATTAGTATTTTTACTTCCAGAACAATGAAGAAGTAAGATTTTTTTAATTTAAAATATTTTTGACTGTCTTATTTCAATTAAACGAATTATTGAAACATGAGCTTACTATTATATATAAGGCTCATATTGTACTTGTCGTACGACAAAATTTCAAGTTTATTGATTGACTATACTAAGATAAAAAGATCCGACAATTTTATTTTCTTGTAGCCAATCAATACACTTGAAATGCTTTATAATGTGACAGATATAATAATATAGTCTTAATCGATTAAATTCATGTCCATTTCAAATTTTTTCGAAAAAAAAAATTATTACAAATTTATTAATTTTATGCAAACGTATAATATATTCAAGGTTTCATTTTTTAGAGTAAAAGATAATTTAAATAGAAAAAAATTTTAATCGTACTTTTTGAACCGTAGACAACATTTTCGTTAATTGAATTTTTGCTTAAGTACACGCGGAAATCTTCAGGAATGTCCTTTGCTCCTGGTGGTACATATTTCTATGAAAATAATTAAACATTTCAGATAATTTAATTATGTATAACAGAAATAAAGAATGTGCTCAATTATTAAAATAGAACATGTATTAATAAATATGTAAAAGGGCTACGAGTCAAAACTAGATGTTATTGTTAATTACTAATTTAAAATTTAGATAAACGACACACATACAAACGTTTCGACTCCTACTGGCGGTCATTACCAATGTGACGATATTAAAATTAAATAATTTATAATTATTGTCCTGATTTAATTCCAAAGCATTTCATCATGTGAAAATATAATCTTGTAAAAATAGTTTTCTAGACGTAGTGTATGAGTGAGGATTTGTATTAGATTTTTAAAAACTAATCTTAACTTTTGTTTAACTCCTACACATTTAAATATATTTTTATAAGACAAAATGATTTCAAAAATTATATCAGAATAATAACTATAAAATATTTAATTTTAATATCGTTATACATTGATAATGACCAAACATAGATCGAAACGTTTATGTGTTGTTTATCTGAATTTTAAATAAATAATTAGCAATAAGATCGGCGTTGGTTCGTAGCCCTTATACATATTTATTATTGTCTTATTTTAACTATGTATATTTGAGACAATCTCAGTGAATCGAAGTAATTGCGTCTTGACAATACTATGAATATCGAAATTTGACGAAAGTTAACCTACCCATGAACTGTTATTTGTTAATAATCCTGTTTCAGGATCGTATACCAAATCCTCAGAAGTCCAATATCCCATTCCCATCACGAAAGCTCCTTCCACCTGACCGACATCGATTTCTGGATTCAAGCTTACACCAGCATCGATCATCAAATCAACTCTCCTGACAACGTGTTGACCGGTCAGCACATCGATTTCCACTTAGGCAATGGTAACACCGTAAACAGGGTAGGACTTCAACGTATCTTCCATTTCGCTTACGAACCTACCAAGGTAAATAGAATATATCATATAATAATTAATTACGTGTATAGCATTTTAATTTTGTACTATATAAATACAAAGTTTATATTTATTTATCTATTTAAATCATTCCGACAATATATGATAAATATACGCTTAATACTCTAATAAATAATTATAAAAAATACCGATTTAGTTAAACTGTTCTTTTGCAATGTATTGTAAGTTGTTTCATGCTAAAGATAAAGAATGCTTCTTCCTGACGGAAGTAAAATATTTCCAAATATTAAAAAAAAATTATTTTATGCTTTACGATTTTGTGTGATAGAATGTGTCACTAATGTATCAAATATGAATTATTTAGTAAAATTTACATATAACTTGCGTATAAATCAATCCTTTCTTGATACGCTTTAAAAACGAGATCCTCCCACTTCGGATTTTTCATTTTTTCTTTAATCGGTTCTAGTCTCTTTAAAATTTGTGTACAAGCTTGGATTGTTACCTGAAATAAATACAATAATCGGTACTATCATTAAGTTCTTTATTTTATATATAGATATGTATAGTATATATGTATATGTATATATAATCGTGTCTTCCACAGTGATAGAGGCAAATTAAATTCTTACGTATCCACAGGTTTCTGTACTAATGTCGTGTCCTGTAGTTGACATGTTTAATGCAACTGAATTATTGCTTTGCTTAACAAAGATTAATTCGATATCGATTCCCAGTGTATGAGCTGCTATTTGTGCGATCTAGTATACAAAAATAATTTATATATATATAATATATATATATAATTTATATATATATATATAGTATAAATGTATATATATTTATATGTATATAATATATAATTATCGTTTTTAATGCTATTACAATGTGTAAACAAATTACATTATTCTAATTAGACTAATACTCGTATAATTATTTGAGAAAAGATTGACTCCATAGATTAATTAGTTACCTATTATTCCGGACATTAAGACAATTAGCGATCGATACTTGAATAAGATCCATTCATTGTGATGATGGATATACGTCCATACTATTCTCTACAGGAATGCATACGCAGGATTGAGTCTCTAGAGTATAGTGATATTGGCTACCGAATTGAAAAACATCCTTTATCACGTGTTGAATATCGGTTCCTGTATATAAAATAATAAATAATTTTCTAATTCAATATATTATTCATTTACTTATAAGATAACAATTCACTTTTGCAAAGTTAGTTCTGTTGCAATCAAAAGGAAAATGATTCAATTAAATCTGTTTTTTTTTCTCAGTTTCTACCTTTCTTCTTTGCTGGAACATATGCGTTTTGCCTCATTCTAGTTTTATCATTCGCATTAATAGCATCATCAATAGTTATTATCGGTTCCTTTTTTGGAGGTCCCTTATATGTAATTTCTACCAATTTTGCAGCTTCATTCGCTAACTTATGCGTCTCCGCGACGATTACACCGACTGGTTGGCCGGCATACAAAACATCTTTTTCGGCGAACAGTATTTCATTCTCCGGTAAGAACGTTAACTTGCTGGCGGCAGAAATACATAAATTCATTCCCGCTATATCTTTGGCGCTGAAAAATGCCACTACACCCTTCATTTGAAGAACCTGATCGGCATCTATTTTGTCGATCTGGCCTTTACTGATTTCGGCGACGACGAAAGCACAAAACACTTCTCCAGGATATGGACCCAGATCACTGCAATATTGGACCTCGCCTGATGTCTGCGCAAGAGCTTCTAATTTTGGCATAGGTTTATTAACTGGCCATAAGTTTATATTTGTATCGTATTCTTGCGTACCTAAAAAAGTTGTATTGTTTTTGTATAAATAATTTCGGACAACCAGTTGGAACACATTAGGAGTCCTATTATATATAAATCTATTTGGAACAGCCATATTTTTCTGTTTCTCTAATACCAAAATCATCTAGATCATTAAGTAGGTTTTTCGAAATGAAACTAAGAAAGCCTTATACTATTAAAAATGATTGCAATCAATAATTAAAATGCTTATTATGAGCTTCCGTGATTTGATAGTGTGATAAATATTAAATTGCAATGTTGGATATATAAGAGGATATATAAAATATAATTTAGACACAATTGGAATGTGCTTTTTAATGATGTTAACTGCAAACAACATATTCACTCTGCATTTGAGTTTTCTTCTTCAACTTTTACACGACTTTCATACTGAAAATGTCTCAAATTCCGAATGGAATCGTTTACAGTTACTTTATTTGCAGATAAATACATTCTAATTGCTTGCAAAATATATATCTTGTCGTTTATCGCCTCATAAAAATATTATTATCAAAATATACGGCAGAGATTTATGTAAATATATATGTTTGAAGGGTTTACAAACAGTTCATAGACACTTTATTACATGCACCTGAAGAGAGGCCTCGTTTTAATAAGGTGCCTCCACTACGATAAAAAGCATCTACATTTTGCGGTTTGATGCTTAACAAAAACTTGTAAAGTAATCCTTCGGCAAGAACGCTATGAAATTTTTGCGAAAAATCTGGGGGCACATTATCAAGGAGCAACTCGTTATGTAACGTTTGCAGGGATGACTCTAACACTTTCTTGTCGAAAACAGATTTATTCAGTAACATTTGCTCCGTTTTTCTTGCATGAATGAAGTCCTTGTTGATGCCACCGAAGATAATGTTAGGATAATCATACACCTTTTTGAAAAATATTGTAAATGTAATGAAATTATATTTGAAGAAAGTTCAAATATAAATATAAATAATTAATGAAAAAAAAAATCGTAAATGTCTCTATACTTTGCCATCGATGTCGATTTTGAAGAAAAAGCCGGCATTGACGTGAGCGCGAGCGTTTTGAGCTCTAGGCATGACTTTATAAAATCTGCATACGTAGTAGTTATCACGATGTGATAATAGAAAAATGTTAGAGATAATTTTATGATGCATGTCCATCTTTAAAAATTCCCATAATTTAAGACGTAGCTTTTTAGATGGGGTTTGCAGGATGTGTACTTCAGCTTCGACAGTCTCTAGTATCACAAACAAATCAGATGGAAACTCATTGTGCTCGTATTTTATCATTAAATTTCCTGCTATAGTGCCAATATTTCGCACGGGAATATTTGCGATCATTTCTATGTGTTCAGCCAATTGATTTAGATATTTGAATCCGGTATCATTTGAATATTTTTGGAAGGTCTGTAACGCAGTAGTAAGAGTTAAACCTCCTCCTATTGCGATACCAAAATCGGTTTTTGAAATCTGATGGAAGTCTGGAATATCGTTTATATCAATGTACATATCTTTTTTGCTCAAAGGATAAACACCTGCAAAATTCAATTTGTATAATATTATATATATGTATATCCATATCCAGGCTTACTTTTATATTTTGAGAATTAATAACTGAGTTGGGAAGGGTTACATTTTCAAATATCTTTTACGATAAACAATTTGATTATAACGTTGTAATTTTTTTATAATAAAACGTAAAAGCTACGTTAGTGTTGGAAAATTCGATTTTCTCAACTTTAGTACAGCTTCAGCGTTTATTACATATATATACTATATATATTCAAGTGTTTATATAAATATTATAAACTAAAATACAGAAGAATTACCATGTGCAGTATTTCCTCCATTTAATATATACGTTGCCTGTGGATTGTTATTTAATAATGTAAATAGAGTCTCGATCGTGGAAACTTTGTAGAAAGATGCGTCCTCTAGTTTTATGCTCAACATTGTTTTACCATCGGAAAGCTTATTGTAGCAACTTTGTGTGCATGGTATTCCGAATTTCCGGCAAGGTTTAATCTGATATGACTCCTGCGAAGTATATTTTCTTACATTTACAACAGGATGAAGAGTGAGTCGTTATTATAATTATAAGTTTTACTTTTGTAATAATAAATTGAAATTATCTTTCTGAGAATAAAATGAAACAGTAATAAGGATAAAATTTTTGAAATGAAAAAGGAATTTTTTGCACAAGCACCTCAATGTCATGAACGTCCTTCACGAGTGATGGAGGTGCATCGGTAGCAAATCCCTTGAACGCATCCAAAATTGCACGATATCCAGTACATCGACAAAGATTACCAGCAAATGAATTTTCGATTTGCTCCATTGATAAATTTGAAGTACCAATCCCGAGACTGCAAAATATATATTCAATAACGCAAAGTTTTAACTTTGCAAATGTTTAATCATACTTGATTATTTTTATTTGAAGTATACTTAGCAGTATTGTACTGTTTATGTTTTTGAGTGATTTTGATTTACAATTTATTTGTTTATTATTGGACTGTTAAATTAAATGTATATCAGTTAGTAAACATATACAAATTGTTGGACAAAGTTGTTCAACGTTCCAAATATTTTAAAATTTCAATGATACGTATGTAATTGATATATAAATTTTCTACCTCTTTGTCCAACAAATTAGGTCATTAAGTCATGTATTTTAATTGTTTACTAACTAGTACATTTATCCAGTTATAATTCATTTTCTAATAAATTTATATGTACATATGTTAATCTTTCCATTTTTTTGAATGCAAATTTGTTTGAATGCCCAACAGCTTTGAAAGAATTTTATCATAAAAACAAAAATATTAATAATGTGTCCGAAATATAACATTTTTTGTAAATCGCAATTTAAAAATTGACCATTTTGATCCTTCCTACCTATACATATTCATCACCATGCCAGATGAACAATACCCACATAGCGAACCGTTTTTTTTAGCAAGTACTGCTTGAAACGTATGATATCCGTCACACTTGTTTCCTATACCTTCAATCGTATAAATATCCCATCTGTGACATAATATAGAATGAAATAATTGTTAATATTAATATATCCTCGGTATACTCAGAAATTAAGAAATTAGTATAAAAAATAAATAAAAAGTAAGTATAAATGTAAAAAACAAATGATAATTTGTTTTGTCGTAAAAGACGATAGTTTTGCGCAAGCGCATATAATGTCATTACTCAAATCCTAAGTATGTTCTTGGAAATTAATTTGATTATTTAGTAGATATCTCTTGAATATATACGTACTTGTCACAGATTAGTACCGGTACAAGACAGGAATTTACTGCTATCGTTTTGTTCTTGAATGTTACACTTACGATACAGACACCGCAATCACCTTCATGACACATTGATTTTGTGCCTTGAAGTTTTGCATATTCGCGGATAAAGACAAGGAGGGACATATCAACGGGTATACTGTAATCGAAAACTGAAAAAATTTATTAACTTTAAAATATATTTTTAAAATTCTCAACTGATATGCGTATTATGTTTTATTTCTAAAACCCACAATTATATTTAAAGTTCCACAATTAAATTTTATAATTTTGTTTTATAATGGTATTTATACAATTAAATTTACTGATTGTGATAAATTTTGTCACTAAAAAATATGATAAATTCTGCGATTAGACTTTATTAACATATTCAAATCTGTGATTTCTTTTTGTTATAAACCATGTTACTTATCCTTTTAATAATATGATTAAAATTTCCTTAATTCCACGTTTCTTACTAAAAGAATACGTACCCGAATATGGTACTTTATTAATTCTAAAGTTTACACTGTTGTCGCTGGATCTAAACATATTGAATTAGGAAACATTTTAACGTTATGTGTGTAATAATAAAGTATAGGCAAAATGTTATTCAATTTGTCTAGTTTCATATTAGGCAGTGAATATATAAATGAACAAAGAAAAATACTTTTAATAAAAAATTTAAGGTCACTTTAATAATTAATAAAATTTTGTTTTGACTATTTAATGTAACAACACTGTAATAATTTCTGCATTGTATAAATTTGTGTCAAAGACTTACGCTCTTACAGTTTCCATCTTAACTCATGAATCGTATCGGGGACTATCTATCCCTATGATGAGATTTGGAGGACCTATAAACACTTTGTCCGTGGGACACTGTAGAAACACTGTTTAAAAGTGGGACAAAATATAATCGTTAGATACTACAGTTTCTTTTACAGATATTTATCGATTTTACCGTAATGTAATTTACCTAGACTATGCACAAAAATATTATTGTTGTTTAAAGATTGTGTAATGTTTTTAAAATACTTTATGAAAATGTAATAGTAGGTACGTACATTAATCCATAAAATTGTATAAATTTTCCATTTATTTTTCAAAGAACATTTTAATAAATATTTATTTTATAAATCAGTACTAGCAAATACGGAAGAGTTCCTACTTGAACTTTTTGCATACATGTATATTAGACTGACAAGTAAAAAAAGATTTTTTTTTTTTAATCGGCTTCTCAGCTCAAAAGCTTATATTTTATACCAAAAGAACACCCCTAAATTTTTATTAAAAAATATTAAGATTTAGAGGTCGCTGGTGAGCGATTTTTAAATAAAAATTTCGATTTTCTTTAATTGATGTTTGACTTGATGCAAAAATGGATAGTCCGGATTTTAAATGTGGTACAGTATGTCTTTGTGATCGCTAATGCAATAATTCATTTAGTTCTACGATATACGCCTTAAGAAATAAAGCCCGATTAATGTGAAAAAATGATCAAATTTTGAGTTTAAAGTCGATTTTTGCAAGCGTTCTAGTAAATGAATTGTTACTCTCCTTAAATTGTAGGTCAGTTCACCCAGAACATGATTCAGTTGGAATTTTCTCGGATCCTCCTACAGGGTCAGCAAACAAATTTTTTGTTGTCAAATTGAGACATTTTATTTGAGAATGTCAAGACCGCAAAGTAATATACTTTAGAACTTGTATATAATTTTTTTTCTATCCTTAGAAACGTATTAATGATCCAATTATATGAAACTTTTAAAGACCCTGTAGGAGGTTCCGGGAAAATTTCAATTGAATCTTGTTCTAGGTGAACAGACCTACAATTTAAGGAGAGTAAAAATTCATTTAAATGCTTGCTAAAATCGACTTTGAACTTAAAATTTGATCATTTACTCGGATTAATCGGGCTTTATTTCTTAAGGCGTATATTGTAGAACTAAATTAATTATTACATCAGCGATCAAAAAGACATACACAGTACCACATTTAAAATCCGAACTAAGCCATTTTTGCATCAAGTCAAACATGTATTAAAGAAAATCGAAACTTTGATTTAAATATCGCTCACCAGTGACCTCTAAACCTTAATATTTTTTAATAAAGATTAAGGGGTGTTCTTTTGGCATGAAATGGAAGTTTTTGAGCTGAGAGGCTGAATAAAAAAATTTTTTTTACCTATCAGTCTCATATATATATATAAAATATATAATATATATCTATACATATATATACATTTCTTTACACTGATTATTTCATAATGCTCTGAGTCGCATAACATTAGAATGAATTCATGACGTAAATGTAATTAAAAATGTTAGTGTAGTCTGTAGACATTTGTTTTATTTAACTTGGTTTTCTAGTAATAAATGTTTTCGTACGTGTTTCACTAAGTTCTCGTTACAATTTGCTGCCAGCGTAACGTTACCACACGTCTTCACGTCCACACGTCTTCTTATTGACTATCAGTAAACATTTTCTTTGGTCACATTGAGTGTTGATTTTATTTGCAATGATATACAAAAACGTTTGCAACTTGTAAATAGTGTCAAATAGGACAGATAGATTTGTTATGTCTTGAATTTATTTGTGAAAGTATTTGTACACGTTAGAAAACAACTTACATACATTTGTATTTGTGTATTTGTATTTTTATATACTCAATATATGTATTTAAATTTATAATTCTTGTTATGCAATAAAAAGTCATTAAGTAATGAAATTTATTTCAAGTATCGGTTTATTAATGAACGATTCTCATCTCTGCTACCAAAGTACCGTTATATTTGTTGATTCAACTGATTAGAGTGCATTCTGTAATACACAGTTTGTCTGCAAACTATACATTATAAATTATACAAGGTGTTTGACAATTAATGAAAAAACTTTTTTTATAGCGATAGGATAACTAATTGTAAGCCAAGTATAAAAGTCCTCTACATTTTACAATTTTTGCAATCGGACATGCGTCCATTCGAAAATCTTTAGTGATTAATATCTCATTAATTATCGGCCGTGTATAAACTAAATTAAGTCGAAAAGTTATGTACTATTCTGCAATTTTCACAATAGTTAACAGGCGGATACACGTTTATTTGATTTTTAACAATTAATATCTCGTTAACTATTACGAAAATTGGAAAAGGATATAGTACTTTTCTATTCAGTTTAATCCATGGATTCTGTCGCTATGCAAATTTTTTCAATTGTCAGATAGTATCTTGTATTATGTATAAATATTTGTTATAATATACGTTATTTTATTGTAATAAAATATATGTAACAAGGCTTAAGGAATAAATAATGATACAAAAAAGAGCTACGAACCTAATAAATTTGTTTAATTTAACAAAAATAGATATAAAACAAATATTTCGATTCCGATCGAGTCATTATCTATGTTTAAAGTATTTCAATTTTAAAATACATATGAAGTAATTATAAGTTTGTTCTAAAATTCTCTGTATTTTGTGTCTTTAAACGTCTATTTGTAGATTATCACTTGTAGATTTTAGTGTGAAATATGAATTCTTAATTATAGTTAATAGGAAATAGTTTACAACCGAATCCAAATTAAGTTTGGCTATTTTAAAAGTATTTTAATAACGAATGGGGGACTTCCCACCACGTATAAAGTATGTTCTTACCTCGTGGTCCTTATTTTTGATTGTGTTTACACACACACACACACACACACACACACACACATACACACGCACGTACCCGCCCACCCATCCATGATACTGTATCATCGCACCCCTCATCTTGAAGAAATGAACTGTATGGTTCACTAAACGTTGGTATCAAGAATGAAGAAAGACACGGCGATAACTCGCACACCTTCTGATATAATTATAGATATTATAATACCCGTGAAAGCCTCAAATACATAATCAAATCTAACTACTACCAATTTAAACGTAATGTTCTTGTTTATATTTATATATGGTGTAAAGTTGGATACCCAACACTCATTTTTTAGTAAGGTGTGTAAACGAAAAATCAAAATAATTTAAAATGTGCAAACGAAATCCTACCGATTCATGACATTTTGAGCACAGAAGTTGCGATTTGAACATTTCTTCGACAGTCGACCACTCTCGAAACTTTAATTGTTAATAACTATTAGTGTGCAAACAAAAAATTGAATTGTTTTGGAATGTGCAAACAAAAATCAATAAACTAAAATGTTTTTGATTCAATTTGAAATTTGGGGCTGTTGTGAAGTTAGCTCCTCAAAATCGTTTTTTAAGTAACTTTCTAACTAAAAGCGTGTAAACGGAATTTCAAAATGTGCAAACACGTTTAAACGATGAGCAGTCGAATAAGTTATGGAAACATAATTTCTTTAAAAATTGGAGAGCCAACTTTACACTTGTACGCATAACTTAAATATATATGGTTGCGTATTATATATTGTCAAAGAGCATAATGTAGAAAATTTACTCAAAATTTGTAGAAATGAGAAGATACATTTAGCAATATTAAAATTTACTACTTTAATTATCATAATCTCATAACCATGGAAGTTTTACATCAACAAAACAAAAATGCATAAATTTGATCCTTTATTTTACAAAATATTTTAATTACTACTTTATTTGGATAGCAATGAAACGACCTAAAAATAAAACTTATTTTAAATGTAGGGTTACAGGAGAATGTTTATCACTTCTATTTTTTTTCTATGAACATTTGGTCTCTGCTAGTCAAACTAGTCAGAAGTATATTTTCGTTTGTACATGGACCATCTGCAAATATTACGAATAATATGTGAATATACATCAAAATATTATGATAGTGTTCTATAAAAAATATATCATGTAATTTATAAGAAAGAGTTATAGAGAAAAACTATGAATATATATATATATATACGTATATTAATTATAAAAAGCTATATAAAGTATATAAGACTATAAAATTTGAAAACATTTCTTTAAATTGTTGCCCATTCAATTCGATTTAAGGAGAAAAAAGGGAAAGAAAAAATTGGATTAAAAAAGTATTTAAAAGACGTTTGTAAATATAAGCATGATATTAAAATATAATATAATAGCGATTCAATGGTTATAGTACTTGGTTCAAAGAATGTAAAAATTAATACATATCATCAAGTTCATTTCATATGTTTAATGTCAACAAAATATGAATATGTCTCTGGTTAAAACTTACCCAGTTGATACCACTTATCTTCATTCCCTGAATCTATTCTAGCAGAATTCAATGCTTTACGGATTGCTATCGGAATTACACAACTCATACAAAGCGGTGGTTCATTGATTGCTGCAAAGATATTTTCAGAATTAGTATTTCTAGTTCCAGAATACTAAAGAAGAAAGATCTTTTTTAAAAATTTTTTCTTATATTGTCTGTCTTATTTAAATTAAATGAATTATATCGTGTCTGAATACGACATAGATTTTGAATTTATTGATTGGCTATACTAGGATAAAAAAATCCGACAACTTTATTTTCTTGTAGCCAATCAATACACTTGAAATGCTTTATAATGTGACAGATATAATATAGCCTTAATCGATTAAATTCATGTCCATTTCAAATTTGTTCGAAAAAAAAATTATTACAAATTTATTAATTTTATGCAAACGTATAATATATTCAAGGTTTCATTTTTTAGAGTAAAAGGTAATTTAAATAGAAAAAAATTTTAATCGTACTTTTTGAACCGTAGACAACATTTTCGTTAAACGAATTTTTGCTTAAGTACACACGGAAATCTTCAGGAATGTCCTTTGCTCCTGGTGGTACATATTTCTATGAAAATAATCAAACATTTCAGATAATTTAATTATGTATAACAGAAATAAAGAATGTGTTCAATTATTAAAATAGAATATTAATAAATATGTAAAAGGGCTACGAGTCAAAACTAGATGTTATTGTTAATTACTAATTTAAAATTTAGATAAACGACACACACACAAACGTTTCGACTCCTATTGGGTCATTATTAATATGACGATATTAAAATTAAATAATGTATTATTAGTTTGCATTCGTTTCTTCACCGTTATTAATCGTTCTTACACAATGTCCACAATGTTGCAAAGAATTATTTGGTTTTTATTGTATTTGATTGACATATATTACTGTAACCATGCCTACACACCGAAATAACATTATTGCTGATTTAATTTGTTTGATTTTCTTGAGATATTGTTATACATACGACTTTTCAATCGTGTGTAACTAATGTCGTTTTTTCTATGAAGACTCACGGGATCAAATGGAAACTGCACGAACGATTTTTTAACGATTAATTTTATCCGCTGATTTTTAATGTCTGAAGAGGGCTCAATCCGAGAGCCGAAACTTGTAACGTTTTTTATATTTATTAATACTTATTTTTATTTTAATTTTATTATCATAGTTAATTGTTTGTAGGCGATTTAGGTGTTAAGTAATGTTTAAATTAATTTTATTGGAAAAATATTGACTGATTATAGGTTTTATTGTTGAACGAAAATTCTTTTTGACTCTTATATCGCCCTTTACATAATTTTGTTTAATGTATTATTGTTCTGATTTAATTCCAAAACATTTATTCTTGCGAAAATATATTCTAGTAAGAATAATTGTTTAAACATAGCGTATCAGTGAGTGATTCGTAACTTATGGAAATTCAAATACTGGATGTATGCGCGCGTGTGTCCTTTCATGTCACACTGTAAATTGTCATGGAGATGTCGAATATTTATTCAATATTACGATTATTAATTAAGTATCGCTTTTACGATATAACGTGTCTATTACTACAATAAAGAATTATAATATCAATGAATACATCAGGAATTCTGGTGTTTTTTATTTTTTGTCTGGCATGCAGAGGAAACTCTGTGCCAAAGTAGAAAGGGAGAAACCATTTTATGATTTTTTGGAAATTTTTATGTTGTTTCAAGTTTGGTTTTTCGCCCATAAGGGTGTCTTCCGACGCGTGTATTCGATCAGGGTGTTTTCTATTTGTTGTCTGGCATGCAGAGGAATCTCTATAGAAATGGGAGAAATCATTTTGAAAAAATCGTTCCAAGAATATTCCAAACTTCAATCAACTGAAAAAACACGCTCTACAGGTATGCTGGTACCAGATGCTGATAGATAGTCTTTGGCGACATTGCTAAGAATAGGGAATACATCTTCATGATCTTATGTCCAAATTCAAATTTTAAGTAAAAAAAGTGAATAAAGATTTTTATTTTATCTTGCAGGCTTAAAAGCTTTGTGCAGATAATACAAAATAAAAGTGAATATAAAATGAAAATATTCTTAATCATATTCAAAAAATATTCATTCAAATGGAATGAAAAAAATTGATTCTTTTCTTGACGAATAAAAAAAAAGTGTATTGGAATGTGTATTTTCATTCATTTTTTATTCATTTATTCGAATATTAGGTGTATTCATCGGACACACTAATCAAGACAGTGAGGATTCGTATTAGGTTTTCAAAAAATTGTCTTGTTTAACTTTGTTTAACTCCACAGTATTTAAATATTTTTAAGATAAATTATTTTGGCATTGTATCAGTATAATAATTATAAAGTGTTTAATTTTAATATCACTGATAATGAGTCAATATAGTTTGAAATGTTTGTGTATTGTTTATCTGAATTTTAAATAAATATAATTAGTAATAACATTTAGCGTTCGTAGACCTTATACATATTTATTATTGTTTTATTTTAACTATGTATATTTGGGACAATCTCAGTGAATCGAAGTAATTGCGTGACAATACTATGAATATCGAAATTTGACGAAAATTAACCTACCCATGAACTGTTATTTGTTAATAATCCTGTTTTAGGTTCGTACACCAAATCCTCAGAAGTCCAGTATCCCATTCCCATCACGAAAGCTCCTTCCACCTGACCGACGTCGATTTCTGGATTCAAGCTTGCACCAGCATCGATCATCAAATCGACTCTCCTGACAACGTGTTGACCGGTCAGCACATCGATTTCCACTTCGGCAATGGTAACACCGTAAATAGGGTAAGGTTTCAACGTATCTTTCATTGATTCGCTTACTAACCTACCAAGGTAAACGGAATGTATATATATTCTATAATAATTAATTACTTGTATAGCATTTTAAGGAATATTTCCCCACTATATAAATACAAAGTTTAAATCTATTTATTTATTTTAATTATTCCAACAACATATGATAGATACGCTTTTAATACTCTAATAATTATAAAAAATGCTGATTTACTTAAACTGTTTTTTTTTTACAGTGTATTGTGTAATTTGTTTCATGCTAAAGATAAAGAATGCTTCTTCCTAACGGAAAGTAAAATATCTTCAAATATTTTTTAAAGTGCTTTACTATTTTGTGTGATAGAATGTGTCACTAATGTATCAAATATGAATTATTTAGTAAAATTTACGTATAACTTGCGTATAAATCAATCCCTTCTTGATACGCTTTAAAAACAAGATCCTTCCATTTCGGATTATTCATTTTTTTTTTTATTGGCTCGAGTCTCTTTAAAATTTGTGTGCAAGCTTGGATCGTTGCCTGAAATAAATGCAATAATCGGTGCCATCATCAAATTGTACGTGTATATATTATATATATATACACACTATGTATATATATACATATATTTTATATAATATATATAATGTACGATATTGCGTCTTTCAGTGACGGGGACATGTTCGATTTCTTACGTATCCACAAGTTTCTATAGTAATGTTGTGTCCTGTAGTTGACTCGTTTATTGCCACTAAATTGTTGCTTTGTTTAATGGAAATTAATTCGATATTGATTCCCAGTGTATGAGCTGCTACTTGTGCAATCTAGTATACATAAATAATCTTTATATTGGTCGATTCGTAACACATTTTACATATTTTAAATTCAATCTTTTTACAGTTTAATATACAGAAAATATCCAGAATATAAAAAGATATTAAAATTAGAAATATCTCATATCATAGTTCCTGATTCTAATTTTTGAAAAATCGGAGCTTTGAAGGAATAGAATTTTTAAATATAATTTTCTATTATTTTATTGATAATTAAATGAAAAGCACGAAACAACTTACTTGATTAAACTATTGCATTTTCATACCTTAGTATTTATGCCTTGATTGATCTCAATTCCGCTATGTGTCACGCATACTGAACCGTCTCGAGCGCAGACCGACACTATTGCGTTGAATTGTCCTTCATATGTCATCAAATACTTCATCGGTACCATTGCAATTCCTTTTCTTTTCCAGCGATTGTCTTTGTTATACTCCATAATAGAATCCTTCCTCTGCTCGTAATTGGTTTTATCCAACATATCTTTTATCATATTTTCTAATACGGATTTATCCACATCATTCATATTTGCCAACCTGATCTTTATGGGATCCTTGATCATCAATCTCGCAATAAATTCCATTATATTTTCTATTATGGCTATTGCTGCCGTAGATCCTGATGCCCAACAAAATGTGTTTGATGGTAAATTGGTTTTCACGTCAATTCCCTTAAACGTCCAAGTATCTGTTAAATAGCAGCTACTATAACCATAAAATATTGTTTGCGATTTTTAATTAAAGATAGAAAATTAATCACGATATATTGTTTTTAAATTTAATTTGGTTAATTATTGAAATCTATTTTATCACAATACACTGAAGTAATTTCTATTAACATTATTGTTATGACATGTTTCCTTTGTTTAAATATTTTTCAAAATCCTGTTCAAAATAAGATAAAAGCAGTTTAATGCAATTATTTAGTAGTTTAATGCATAGTATATATATTTCTGTTTAAAAAATCACCACTCGGTTTTACAATATTGTGCACAGAAAATTTAATGAACAAGTTTTAATATTAGAAAAGTGTCTTGATATAATATATTACTGTCATAAATTGCTTATATTTTTATTTACTCTACATGATATATTTCGACACCTTTTCATGAAGGAAGCTACCACGTTTACTTGTGATTCGTTGAAACTAGAACCACAGTTGCTCCAGTGTTCGGAGTTGAGATACTGTATAACTCCGTCATTGTCGACTCCAATCTCATATTCATGATGCGTAGGACATCTCTTGCCTATCGATAACATATTGCTCTCTATCGTCATAATGAATCGTGCTGGACGATTCAGTTTATGACATACCAATGCGCAAGCACACGAAATTTGCACGTTACGTGAGATTTTCGACCCGTAGGAACCGCCAAGTCGTCTGACATGCACACTAATTCTGGAAACATTAAATTCACGCTATTGGTATTAATTTTATTCTATTGTTTATACATAGAAAAAAACCTAAAGTTTCTTATTCAATTACTTCATTTTTTAATAAATCAATCTTCACAATCGGCTATAGATTTTAAATACTTTATCTTCTTTTTCATCAAAATCCATAAAGACAAATTAAATAAATTCCAAAACTAGAATGTCGTGTACAAATTGTAAAGACTGTACAGCGTCTTATATAGGACAAATAAAAAAACAACTCGTGTAAATGAACATTGAAATAACATAAAGAATAACTCCTTTAAATATACTGTCATTTTAGACCATAGATTAAAACATGACCATAATTTTATTTGGGAAGGAGTTACAATTCTAGATATTGAAACGAACTACCATAAAAGAAAAATCTCAGAAATGCATACATGCAGAAATACTATATATTAAAAACAATGGCATTAACTCACAAAAAGACACTAACAATCTTGTTGAATTTTATTATTTTTTATTAAAACAGAGCCTAACACAAACAAATGAATGTCAACCTTAGTGCTTAGAGTTTCAGTTATTATACTTTTGCGTTTTATCATTGTAACATCTACGTTCAACTCGATTGGACGAACTTGTAATGATGGTGCTGTCTCACATGATTTTGTAAGTTATTATATTCAGTTTTCATCTAACTTAACGTATAGTCCTTAACTTAATCAGGAGACGCGGTAGTGTCTCCGGCTATGTGAAAAAACTGAAAGACACTACAAGTCTCTTATCCCGAGCAACCAAAGTTTATTTTTCGAAGATGCATAACTGCTAAAATATAAAAAATTTTGAATCGAACGTTATATGTCCTGAAAGTCGGTATCACTACGAGTAATTTGAACCAAAAAAATTTTCAAAAATGGGTCAAGCCGTTCTAGAGATACAAACGGCCGAAAAGTGATGATTTTAATGAAAAATTAAGAAACGTCTTCTTCTTTTTCTCCTTCTTTATCTCTGTCCGCATTCACACACACACACACACACACACACACACACACACACACACACAAACACACACACACACACACACACACACACACACAAGGCTGTATTAAAACTTTCTAACATCCCCTCTCACCTTTCACTCGCACCTTCACCATCTTCGACCCAAATAACGTCCCAATTAACTAAATTGTGATTAAAACGCATACTTTCGCCCGCGTAAATTAAAATTGCTTGTAATAAGGTTCAATAAGTTTTTAAAAACTAATATAAAGAGAGACAAGGGCAATGAGCCAATAAATTCTTTAAAATCTTTTAAATTAATCTACTATAATTTGTATGAAAAATTTAGTAATAATAATGTGTGAGTTTGTATTTCAATATATATATTCTTATAATATTTATTTAATGTTTCGTAACGATAACATCACACATATATTTGCATTTTTAAATTCGTATAGATAGACTGATAATGGGCGCGTTCAGCGGACTCAACAGTTGAGTGTGCGCTCGCTATTATTGGTGTATTCTTTTAGATCATCCAATAAGAATTTTAGATCTAGAAGAATATACCAATAACAACGAGCGCTCACTGAACTGTTGAGTCCGCTGAACGCGCCTATTATTGCTTAAAAGTAATTGTGCATGATTTGTTAGTAAATTGTTACGTATACGTTAGTAAATGTTAGTAAATTGTTAATTAAAGTTAACGTAAGTTAACTTTAATTGTAACATTTTACCTTTGTACATTGACTCCTATAAAAGAAAAAATTTTATTTTTTATTTTATTAGAATATGTAAACACATACACTTTTAATAGTGAACCTCAAAATTATCCTATTAAAATATATAATATTTTTCTTAGAATTTCCAATTTCATATGCTATTATGGTATAAATTATATATTATTATAGCATAACAATTGGTATGGTAACTTTAGATATATGATAATCATTTTGACTTATATAGTAGTAGATGAGGTTAATTTCATTAATGAGTTACCTGTTATTCGAAACATTAAGGCAATCCGCGATTGATACTTGGATGAGATCCATCCATTGTGACGATGGATATACCTCCATACCATTCTCCACAGGAACGCATACGCAGGATTGAGTCTCCATGGAGTAATGATATTGACTATTACACTGAATGAATCCCTTTAGTGTGTGTTGAACATTTTTTCCTGTAAAACAATAAGAAACTTCTTGGTCTTCATATATATTATATTATTTTTTATTTTTAAGGTTCACTTTGGCAAAGTTATCTTTGTTGATGTCGAGGGCACCCTCCCAAACGACTTTGATAAGTTTTAAATGTCGTTCCTTTTATTAATACAAAAAAATAGCCATTATAATCGTGAACGGTTAATGATTAACAAGAAATGAAGGAATACGCAATTTTGTTATTCAAATTCATGCTGACTATTTGGAAAATAATATAAGATAACGACTAAAATTTCTAAAGACTAGTCAGCAGATTGTTCTTGACAAAAATGCTAAAGCATTAAAGATAATTTGCCCACATTGAATAATTACCATTTCTAATAATTATTCTCAGTACAGTAGGACCTCTTTATATATATATATATATATATATACACATATATATAATATATATATCTATATATATATAGTCACACGCTCGGGATCTGATCACAACAAATGTGACAATAAAAAGGTTATCTTAACTTCGCCCCAAAGCATGACCGGAAGTAACCTTCTTAAGGAGTTAGTCCATCCTGAAACTTTCAAAAAATCGAAAAAAATTTTGTATTGCTTAAATCGATAGTTTGTGGTCTTATGAATGTAGAATTTTTAATCCGAATGCGAAATTTCAAATATTAACAAAGATACAGTCGATTATGTTATATTATTTTATATACAATTAAAATAAAGTTGACTTGAAACTTTAATCTCGTTTTTCTCAAAATGGTGTTTTCAGAAAAGGTGGACACCAAAACTATTACAAATTTCATCCAAATACTTTGAAATTTTTCTGAGTTATTGTCAATTGAATTATCTAAATAAATACCTTTGGTTTTTGCGATAACTTATATACTTTTTTTGTAATCCATATTTTTATGTCAAATTTATGACAAATTGATAATTTTGTACACCAAAGTATAAGCAACAAATATATATATATATATATAAATTTTTTGTATCATGTATAGTTTTTAAATTATTATCTCCCAAAGTAAGATATGATTTTAAGGCCTCCAAGGTGGACTAACCCCTTAAGCACATATGTAGCACTCACTGAGAGAAATGCTTTGAAAACTATTTATTTTGTTGAGATGTGACTTTCTAACACAATATTTCTTACTTTAGTAAGAAAGCATTTGAAACACAACTTGACGAGATACTATGTTTTCTTGCCACATCTTTCATTTTTGAACCAGAAGCAGTCTCCTCATCTGTTGCTTGTTGCTTATTATCATACACTTTCTCTTGTGACTAATGTTTACACTTAAAAATAATTAAGCAACTAATAAGCAACAATTATGCAAAATAATTAATATATAAGTGGTAGGCTATCCCCAAAGGTTACAATTGAGAGCTAAAAATACGACTCTGAGTGCGTTTAAGCAGATAACTGTGCATTGTTTACTGCGCAAGCAGTTGTCATGCAGACGCGTCACGAGTGTTACAAATGTGTGTTTATACGGAAATCGACTATGGACTATTGAGAGGTCGTGACTATAAAGAGATGGATTATAAAGAGGTTTTACTGTATTTGCATGTACAAGTTCGCAAGATTGTTAACGTATTAGGTGCATAAATTATTAATTCTCGGCCCCTATCAGCGACCTCAGAACCCGTTTAAGTTAAACTCCTCTCCCCTCTCTGTAGTCATTTTGAAGTACCATTTTTTAGCTTTAAAATGAGGTACAATATATTTAATCCTCCTGTAAACACAACCTGAAAAATCAGCAGTAAATATGATGTCATTCGAAAAGTAACATTTGAGGCACTACCTTTATTTCGCGTTTCAACTTAAAAAAACGCGGCTGAGACAAAAGAAATGATTTGTTCGGCTTTGGGCGAGAACGTTGTATCCTATAGTACGTATAAGAAATGGTCCCAACAGTTTCAAGAGGGAAATTTTGACCTTGAGGATCGTGAACGTTCGTAAAAAAAAAGTAGAAGACGTGGAGTTGGAGAAAATTTTGAACGAGAATTCTTGCCAAACGCAATTAGAACTTGCAAATGCGGTTAGAGTAACTGTCAAAGTTGGTAAATGTCAAAGTAGATCACAAAAGGCGGAGAATTAATTTGTGCATCCTATTTTACTTCTTTCCAAAACATGAAGCATACATTTGTTGCTATTTTTTAAAAATAATTATAATCAAATGGAAAACAATTTAAATGGATATGTCGTTCTTAATCACTTTTTACCTATCCTCTTTGCTGGAATATGGACGCTTCGCCTGAATCTAGTTTCATCATGCGCATTAATAGCATCTTCAATACTTATTATCGGCTTTGTATTCGGAGATTCTATATATTTAATTTTTACCAATTTTGCAGCTTCATTCGCTAAATTTTGCGTCTCCGCGACGACTACACCGACCGGTTGGCCGGCATACAAAACATCATTTTCGGCGAACAGTAACTCGTCCTCTGACAAGGACATCATCTCGTTAACAGCTGAAATGCATAGATTTTTTCCCGGTATGTCATCGGCGCTAAAAAATGCCACTACACCCTTCATTTGAAGAGCCTGTTTAGCATCTATCCCACTGATTTGGCCTGTAATGATATTTGTGACGACAAAAGCACAAAACACTTCTCTAAGAAATGGGGGCAGATCATCACAATATTGGGCTTCGCCTGATGTCTGTGCAATAGATTCTAACTTTGGCATAGGCTTAGTCACTGGCCATATGTCTACATACGTATCGAAGAATTGGTGACCTAGGAAGATTATATTTCTTCATATACACAATTTCGTTAATCAATAATTAGAATACACTAAAAGCTTTTGTATACATAAATTAATTTATTCATGCAATATATAGAGAGGAGAATTTTTAATTGAACTCGAAACTTTTGTTTACTTTATTAAAGCAATTTCTTAGAAAACAATAAGTATCGAAAATTGGACATACAATGCTTTTTTGCAACTTAAACATATCTTAAAGTCATTTTATGTGACAATTTTGTACTATATTTTATACGGGATAATTCTTAATAAAACTGTTCCGTTTAATTAAAAAAATTTAGCTTGAAATTTTAGCAATCAATTATTTTTCTTAATTTAATTAAAATTTAATAAAATTTGTTTGGACTATCCCAGTGACAATACATATTAAATTAAAAAAAATATTTCTTCTAAAATATTTATTAAAAACAGCAAGATCTATAAAAAATATTTTTAATAAAAATGAGAAAGCATAGCTTGTTGCTCCAGGAATAAATTAAGGTATCTGTAAGTAAAAATGTTTATGTGAATCTCCATGGGTGCTCGTTTAATAAATATTATAATATTTAACATATTTGTTATAAAATAGATTGTAATTCCCAAATATTGGAATGTACATTTTAGCAAAGTTAATTGCAAATCTATCCAAACTGTATTTGAATTTGCTTTTTTCTACATATAGTACTTGATCTCCATACTATTGAAATCTCAATCCTCGAATTGAAATATTTGCAGTTAACATCATTTATATGTATATTTCAATTATATATATTATCGCCTTATAAGAATTATATGTATTTATATTACGTGCATGAATTGCGAAAGTTTACATAAATTCTTATAATGGACATATACTTTTAAAAATAATCAGGATATTTTATATGTACATACCTATAGAGAGACCACGTTTTAATATGGTGCCTCCACTGAGATAAAAAGGAGGTATTTTCTCTGGTTTGATGCTTAATATACACCTGTAAAATAATCCTTCGGCTAGTGTCTTGCGAAATTCTGGTGAGTAATCCGGTAAAACATGATCAGGTTGCAGTTCGGCATGCAAGACATCCAAGGTTTGCTTCAGCAGGGAAGATGAAAAAATAATTTTATCCACCAACAATTTTTCTGTGTTAATTGCGTGCGTAAAATCTTTATTGATGCCACCGAAAATAATGTTAGGCTGCTCCAACACCTTTTTGAAAAATATTATAAATATAAACAAAAACGAAAAGTACAAAGGACATTGTAAGAGTCATATAAATAAAATGTAAAAAGTTAGATAACAGTCATATAATAAAAGATCATCTTACATTTCAAAAATTACAGGATTCTGTAAAAATCCGAATCAATAGTTTTTTACTTTCGATCTGTCAATTGTATGGTGAACAATGATACGGAGATGGATAATCAAGATTGATTCAATATTTAATTTGAAGTCTTTTGAGGTGTTTCTGAGGATGGCTCAATCCAAGAGCCGAAACGTAAAGTAGTCATTAGAAGTTTAGAAATGTAAGGTGTCTTTAGAATTTTAGAAATGTATAGCTTTGGATTTTTACAGAATCTTGTAATTTTTGAAATGTAAGATGATCTTTTATTATATGACTGTTATCTAACTTTTTAAATTTTATTTATATGACTTTTACAATGTCCCTTGTACTTTTCGTTTATGTTTATATCAAGAGTCCTTAGCAACTTTTATATTATTAAAAATATAAACAACACACAAATAATATTTGAAGAAAATTACAATATGAATAAGTAGTTAATGATAACATAATTGATAATATAAACAATTTGTAAAGATTCGGTTACTTTGTCGTCGGCATCGAGTTTGAAGAGGAAGCCAGCGTTGACGTGAGTGCGTGCATTCTGGGCTCTAGGCATGACCTTATAGAATCTGTATATGTGCTGATCAGTAAGCTGTGGTAACACAACGCTATAAATGACTTTATGGTGCATGTCGAGCTCCAAAAATTCGTACAGATATATACTTTGCTTCTCAGAGGGACTTTCCAAGATGTGTACTTCAGTACCGATAGTCTGTAATATCAAAAACAAATCGGATGGAAACTCTCTGTGCTCGTATTTTAACATTAAATTCCCTGCTATAGTGGCAATATTTCGTACGGGAACATTTGCTATCATCTCTATATGCTCGGCCAATTGTTCTAGATATTTAAATCCGGTTTCTGTAGAATATTTTTGGAATGTCTGTAGTGCCATGGTAAGGGTTACATTTCCTCCTAGTACCAAAGTCGAATCAGTTTTTGTAATGTTACTCATGTCTGGAATGTTGTTTATATCAATGTACATATTTTTTTTGCTATAAGGATAAATACCTGCAAAATTAAATTTTTTTAATTTTATGTACATACCTACTCGTATATTAAGGCTCTTTTTTTCGTATTTAGATTAATGTTCGAATTAATAGTAAAATGTCGAATTTAACATATTGTGTGTGTAGAATAATTGAAAATATTGAATTCTTTGATAGACTTTCAAAATCTTAATAAATCGTGGTGTCATAAAAAATTAATCTTCTTTAAGTGTTAACAAAACTGCATTTTAACACATCACATTTAATTATTGAAATATAAGTAACCAAAATAAAATTTATCGTATAAGTATTATATAAAGATTGTTTATTTAAAGATAGAAGATGATTATTTTGTTAACTAGTTTGCCTTTTCATAATACAATATTATTTTTTATGCGAAATTATTTATCCAAACTTATTAATATAATAATGCCGTATTAATTCCATATAAATAATGTTTTGCTTAAAAAATTTTTTTGTTAAAAAAATTTAATATATACATATATTTCAAATAATGGAATGTTCTTTTGCTATCGCGTATCAATATTCTCCAAGTATAAATTTTTCTCTCTTGATACATTATAGATCAATAATTATTCATTATTAATCTTTCCATTTAGGTATAATACATTTTCTATCCACTGCATTATTAGTTTCAATATATACGAAAAACAACTCATTTTAGTGGGACTCAATTTTTATACAATTAGCGCGAGCATAATATTCTATATATGTATACATATAGGAGTACATATACATATATATGTATATATAGACTCCTATATGATATAAGTATACAGGGAGGAGCATTTAAAACAGGTCATCTGAATAACTCGCTTGTTTTTGACAATAGAAGAAAAAGTGTCAAACAAAGTTGCTTGGTTTCGAGGGGCACATAATGTGATGTCAATAATTGTTTTTTTGGTGGAGGCGCTAAAAGATATGAAGGTCACCTCCACTTTTTTAAATGGAATTATGTAATTTTTTTTAGATAACATGATTCCTCTAATTATTTTGCATATAAAAGTATTAAGGTAGAGATACCAAAAAACCAATAGTTTTCGAGATATTTTACACTTTATTTTGATACATATTGACACAAAATGTTAAATAACTCGTAAACTGTTGACCGTTTTATTATCGTACCTTAATACTTTTGTGAACAGAATAATGAGATAAATCAAATGGTGTTAAGAAAACACATAGTTGCGTATTTAAAAAATTATCCATTTTGTATACATATTTTTTTTAAAGCAACTATGTGTTTTCTTTACACCATTTGATTTATCTCATTATTCTGTTCACAAAAGTATTAAGGTACGATAATCAAAACGTCAACAGTTTACGAGTTATTTAACATTTTGTGTCAATATGTATCAAAATAAAGTGTAAAATATCTCGAAAACTATTGATTTTTTGGTATCTCTACCTTAATACTTTTATATGCAAAATAATTAGAGGAATCACGTTATCTAAAAACAATTACATAATTCCATTAAAAAAAGTGGAGGTGACCTTCATATCTTTTAGCGCCCCCACCAAAAAAACAATTATTGACATCGCATTATGTGCCCCTCGAAACCAAGCAACTTTTGTTTGACACTTTTTCTTCTATTGTCAAAAACAAGCGAGTTATTCAGGTGATCTGTTTTAAATGCCCCTCCCTGTATATGTGTATCTATTTGTTAGTCTCCATATCATCTAAAAGATAAAAATTACCGTGAGCAGTATTTCCTCCATTTAATATATATGTTGCCTGTGGATTAATTTTTAATAGTGCAAACAGCATTTCGACCGAGTAAACTTTGTAGAAGTATGCATCCTCTAATTTTATGCTCAACATTGCACTTTCATTGGAAGCTTGATTATCATAGCAACTTTGTATACATGGCATTTCATGTTTCCAGCAAGCTTTAATTTTGTATAGCTCCTGTGAAGCATACTTTATATTTATAACAAGATAAAAACAATATGAAAAAAAACAGTATTAAATCTTATTGGACCGCAAAATTTCAAACCGAATGAGACGATGCCACAGCGTCTAAGCTGGTAATCTAAAGACTTAGGACGCTCTCACGGAATGTCAGAGATTTGGATTCGACTCCCGAAGTCCCGACCGAGGTAATATTTTTCGCAATTAAAAATTAATTATTTACAGTTTTTAATAGGTTATTCAACATTATTAAGATCGATATAAGATGCGTAAACAGTATCAATAATCGTTAAATTGTTAGTCAATTTAACTCGTGATATTACTGTGGTAGTTTATTTTAGTGTTGCGTTTCAAGTCTGAAAAAATTTCGGCGCGCAAACGAAGAATTACGTACGTAGTATAGGTATAAATTTACACGCAATTATTTAGAAGCATATGTGATCTAGCCTATACCGCCGTTGTGGCATTATTGTCTCATTCAATATGAAAAGAGTTGTTATAATATATTAGTTAAATAATCTTTATTATATATACTATAATATTAAATTTTTCTTCCGTACATATATAAAATAAAATTGAATACGTAATTTTAAAATTAAGACAAAATTTTTGAAATAGAAGTGACATTTTGCATACATTACCTCTATGTCGAGAATATCTTTCACCAGTGATGGAGATGCATCGGTGGCAAATCCCTTGCATGCATCCAAAATTGCACGATATCCAGTACATCGACAAACAATGCCATCAAATGAATTTTCGATTTGCTTCATAGACAAATCCTTAGTACTAATTCCGATACTGCGAAATATACATAACAATACAGAATTTTTACTTTACAAACGTTCAATTACACACATATTTAATTTAATATTATTTTTACTTGAATTATACATAGCAGTATTGTACACGTTTTTGCGTGTTTTAAATTACAATATTAATAATAAACAAACAGTTATTTGTTTATTATTAGACAATTAAGGTAAATGTGCCGCTTAATTGACATGAACAAACTGTTGGACAAAGTAGTTAAATATTTCACATATATCAAGCTTTCATTAAGATAGAAAAATTCTAAGAAAATTTAATATTAAATTTTTATAAATAACAAATTTATTTAAGATTATACATATTATTAAAAGCTTAATATTTCAAATTTTGTACTACTTTGTTCAACACATTAAATCATTAGTTCATGTCCACCAATTATTCACTAACTGCTATATTTACCCAATTATAGGGATTTAATTTCTAATATCTATGTTTATGTATGTATAAATCAATGAAAAATCGACAAGAACTGACTATAACAGTTAAGTTGAATCTTAAGTGCTTCTAATATGTATATAATAACGTGTGAATTTATATACTACGTATGTAGATATTTAATTGCGCGCCGAGTTTTTTTCAGACTGGAAACGTAAACTCTACTAAACTATCACGAGTCAGAGCCTGCGCGCAATAAAACAAATATTAGGAACAGGAATAAATATCAAAATTTCAATTTGTCAGAAACCGTATATTCCGATGAAACTGGTATCTAATAGGTTAAATTCTTAATATTGATTCCTATTTCCTCTATTATGCGCAGAGTCTTAAATTGACTAATAATTTAACAATTTTTTATGCTCTCTTTGTGCATCTTAAATCGATCTTAAAAATATTGAATGACACATTAGAATCTGTAAATAATTAACTCTTCATTGCGAAAAATATTATCGGTTGTGAGTCGAGATCTATTGCATTCCGTGTGAGCGTCCTAAGTCGTTAGACTACTGAGGTCTTAGAAATATACTTGGCAATAATTAGTATATGTATGAATGTGTGAATAATTTGACAGGCGACATAAATAAATAATATTAAATCTTAAAGCTTATAGGACCAGGATTTAAATCAATGAAAATTTATATGTATGTTAATCTTTCTATACTTTTTTGTATGCAACTTTGTTTCAACGCCCAACAATTTTGAAAGGATTTTATCATATAGGCAAAGAATGTCCAAATATAATATTTCTTTAAAATTAATAATTGATCATTTTAATTCTTCGTACCTATACATATTCATCACTATGCCAGGAGAGCAATATCCACATTGAGAACCATTCTTATTAGCGAGCGCAGCTTGAATCACATGATAACCGTCTCGCTTGTTTCCTAAACTTTCAATGGTTTCAATATACCATCTGCGACATTAAAGTGTTAATTAATAGTAGCATGTCTTTAGAAATTAATTTGATTATTTAGTAGGTATCTCTTGAATTGAATACATACGTACTTGTCACAGATCAGTACCGGTACAAGACAGGAATTTATTGCTATTGTTTTGTCCTTGAATGTTACACTTACGATACAGACACCGCAATTACCTTCATGACACATCGCTTTTGTGCCTCGAAGTTTCGCATAATCGCGGATGAAGACAAGAAGAGACGTGTCAACGGGTATACTTTTATCGAATACTGAAGGAAATTTAACAATTTTAAAATCGATTTATAAAATTCTCACTTAATATGCGTGATTATCTCTCTCTTATTAAAAATCCCACAATTATTGTTAAAGTTCCACAATTAAATTTTGTAATTTCGTTTTATAATGTTATTTATATATGATTAAATCTACTGAATGTGATGAATTTTTAATAAAAAATATGATTGCTTTCGTGATTGGATTCTTTTTGAATTTAATATATTTAAATCTGTGTTTTTTCTTTTCGTTATAATCCATGTTACTTAGCCTTTTAAAGGGATCCTAAAGCAAAGCTCAAACTCTAATGAAATCGCCAGATGTTTTATAATACATCTTTTATATACCATCACATTAATATTTCACGTAGCAGTGATGCATTGTTACAATATTGTTACGACGTGCAACGACGTGACAACTCTGGAGCGCTATAACTAAAAGGTGGTAATGAAAAACTCAATTTTGAAATTTTTTAATGTTTTCAGCATAGATTCTACCTCACAGATACTCATTAATGCGTATACTTTAATCCTGTAAAAGAATTTTTGAATCAGTGAATGATAAAAGAAGTATTTACGATACAAAAGTTATTTAGTTTAGTCGGTAATACAGAAGACTTTAGGATCCCCTTTGATATGATCAAAATTTTTTATTTCCTTAATTCCACATTTCGTACTAAGAATACATACCCAAATATGGTACTCCATTAATTGTAAAGTTTACACTGTTGTCGTTGGATCTAAATATATTGAATTAGGAAACATTTTAACGTTATGTTCAATAAAAAAGGTACAGATAAAATGTTATTCTTTTTGTCTAATATTAAATTAGGCAGCAAATATATAAATAAACAAAGAAAAATACTTTTAATAAAAAATTTGAAGTCTTTTTAATAATTAACAAAGTTTTGTTTTGATTATTTGATGCACCAACACTGCGGTAATTTCCGCATCTTATAAATTTGTGTCAAAGACTTACGCTGTTACGGTTTCCATCTTCACACATGAATCTTATCAAACTAGGACTAACTATCCCTCATCTATGATGAGATTGGAGTACCTATAATAAAAATACTGTGTGTTTGGAACCATGGAACACCGTAGAAAAACTATCTAAAGTGGGCCAAAATGTAATTGTTAGATACTACAGTTTCTTTTACAGATATTTTACGATTTTACAGTAGTGCAATTTACCTAGACAATGCACGAAAATGTCATTGTTGATTAAAACTTGTGCGATGTTTTCAAAATGGTTGAAAATCCATAGCATTTAAAAATGTACTCACATTTATGAAAATGTAATCATACGTACGTTAATCCATAAAATTATACAAATTTTGAATTTATCTTCCCAAGAATATTTTAGTAAAGATTTATTTTGTAAATCGATAATTGCCAAATACGAGACATTCTCTACTTGAATTTTTTGCAGTTATATACACACACACACACACACACACACACACATATATATATATATATATATATATACATACATTTCTTTACTCTGATTATTTCATAATGCCCTGAGTGGCATAACATCAGAATGAATTCATGACATAAATGTAATTCAAAATGTTAGTATAGACTATTTGTTTTATCTAACCTGGTTTTCCAGTAATAAACGTTTTCGTATGTATTTCACTATTTCTCGTCACAATTTACTGCCAATTTAATGTCTTCACGTTCACGCGTCTTCTTATTGACTATCAGTAAACACTTTCTCTGGTCACATTGAACGTTGGTTTTATTCGCAATGGTATACAAAAATGTTTACAACTTATAAATAGTGTCAAATAAGACAGATAGATTTGTTGTGCCTTGAATTTATTTGTAAAAGTATTTTTAAATTTTATAAAAAGTTCTACATATACTTTATATGTATTTTTATATACTTAACATATTTAAATTTATTTCTGGTAGGCAGTAATTAAAAATACAATAAGTAATAGAATTTACTTTAAATATCGATTTTTTAGCAAACGATTTTCATGTCTGATACCAAAGTACCATGTCATATTTGTTGATTAAACTAAGAGTACGTTCTGTAATACACAGTTTCAAGTTTGTCTGAAAACATTACAAATTATACATGGTGTTTGACAATTAAAACAACGACAGCATAACGGCAGCACGAACCAAACCGAGTATAAATGTTCTCTAACATTTTGCAATTTTTGCGATCCAACGAGCAAACATGAGTCTATGCGGAAATCTTTATTAATTGATATCGCATTACTTATTATCCGTGGGTAAACTGAATTAAGTCGAAAAATATTGTACTATTTTGCAATTTTTGCGATAGTTTATTCATTAGTGTGTATATTAGCAAACATTGCGATTAGGCTAACACAACCAAAATTGGCTGTAGCAGTCAATTAAAAACGTCATGTCATATTTTACCATCTAATTCGCTGCATCAATATTTATTTTTATTGTATAAATCTAAAATAATTATTAGTGGGATTGCAAATTTTCTCTGTATTTTCTGTCAGACTACTTGTAGATTGTAACATAGATTCCAATATAAAAAAGTACGGATTCTTAATTAAAAATAACAGAAAAAATAATTCACAATCGAATTCAAATTGAGTTTGGTTATTGTTGGAGCAGAAATGCGAAAGAAGAACATTATATGCGTTTTGTATCAAGAGACATAACAAGAGACTAAAAAAGCTTAATTTAAAACTCATTGATCTAGCTCACTTGCATGCGTAATGTATATTATTTAAATATGTACGGTAGCGTATTGTTAAAAAAGCTTAATGGAGAAAATTTACTCAAAACTTGTAGAAATGAGAAGACACATCTTAGCAATTTTAAAACTTAATTTAATTATTATAATTCCATAATTAACCATAACAGTTTTACATAAATATAAAACATATAAATTCATAAATTTTATCCTTTGTTTTACAAAATATTTGAATAACTTTATTTAGATAGAAATGAACCAACTAACTAAAGATAAAACTTATTTTAAATGCAGGATTACATGAGAATGCTTTCTATTTCTATTTTTTTTCTATCAACATTTGGTCTCTGCTAGTCAAACTAGTTAGAAGTATATTTTCGGTTGTACACGGTCCATCTACAAACATTACAAATGATACATGAATATAAATCGAAATATTATGGTAGTGTTCTAAAAGAAAAAATGTATACACATGTATAATAATCTATAAAAACGATTTGTAAAGAAAATTATGAAAATTTAAATTAATTATGTAGAATAATGTATATTTAGTTATTTTAATATAAAATTAAAAATTTCGAGTTATATACATCGTAAATCGTAATAATGCGAACAAGATATTATTCATATAATATAGCATTCAAAAAACGGTCTAGAGAATAAGAGACTATAAAATTTGAAAACACATTCCTTTTTAAATTGCCCATTCGATTCATTTTAAACAAAAAAGAGCGAAAGAAAAGATTACATTAGAAAAATATTTAAAAAACGTTTTTTAAATACAAGCATGACATTTAAGTAGAATATAATGGCAATTCAATAATTAGTAGTTGGTTCAAGGAATGTAAAAATTAATACATATTATCAAGTTCGTCTTGTATGTTGAATGTCAACAAAATGAATATGTATCTCTGGTTAAAACTTACCCAGTTGAAACCATAGATCCACATTTTCTGAATCTCTTCTAGCAGAATCCAATGCTGAGCGGATCGCTATCGGAATTACAAAACTCATACAAAGCGGTGGTTCATTGATTGCTGCAAAGATGTTTTCAAAATTAGTATTACTAATTCCAGAACATTAAAGAATTAAGACCTTCTTTATTTTAATATTTTTTTATATTGTCTATTTTATTTAAATTAAATAAATTATTGAAGCGCACGCTTGTAAAATTGGTATTACATTTGTCGTACGACAAAGATTTTGGGTTTATTCATTGATCATGAGATAAATAAATGCGGAAACTTCTCTTGTTTGTAGCCAATCAATACGCTTGAAATACTTTATTTAAAATAACAAATAGAATATAGCCTAAATTAATTAAATTCATGTTCATTTAATGCTTTTTCTAAAAGAAAATCTTTTTCTATAAGAAAATTATCAACTTATGCAAATACGTATAATATATTCAAGTTTTTATTTTTTATAGTGAAAAGTAATTTGAATGGAAGAATTTTGGTCTTACTTTGTGAACCGTAGACACCATCTTTATTGATAGTTTTTTGACGTAAGTATACGCGGAAATCTTCAGGAATATCTTTTGCTCCTGGTGGCATATAATTCTACAACATTACAGATAATTTAATTATGAATAACAGAAATGAAGAATGGTCTCAATTATTATTGTAAAATAAAACATTAATAAATATATATAAGACTACGAGTCAAAGCTATATGTTATTGTTAATTACTTATTTAAAATGCAGATAAACAACACACAAATGTTTTGACTCCTGGATTATTATCAATATGACGATAAACATGATCGGAAACACTACCGCGTCTCCTGATATTAAAATTTAATAATTATAAAATTACGATTTGTGTTGGACCGTCGATTTGAAAAACAATTGATTTCTTTTTTAATAATAATAATTATTATTATTCTGATTTAGTTCCATAACCTTTTGTATTGCAAAAATATAGTTTTGTAAAAATAGTTGTCTAGATACAGCGTATTAGTCAGGATTCGTATTAGCTTTTTAGAAATGTAATCTTAACTTAATATTGGTTTAATTACTACACATTTAAATATTTTCACAAGAAAAAATATCACAGGCCCACAAAAAAAAGTTTTTTTGTGGGCCTGTGTATTTTGAATTATATTAGGATAATAATTACAAAGTATTTAACTTTAATATTGTCGCATTGATAATGACCAGATATGGATCGAAACATTTGTGTTGTTTATCTGAATTTTAACTAAATAATTAACAATAACATCTAACGTTGGCTCATAGCCTATCCACATATTCATTACTGTTTTATTTTAACTCTATATACTTTGGACGATCTCGGTAAAGAGAATTAAGTAATTGCGTCTTGAAGTATTATGAGAATCGAAATTTGACAAAAGTTAATTTACCCATGATCTATTATTTATTAATAATCCTGTTTCAGTATCATACACCAGATTCTCCGAAGTCCAGTATCCCATCCCCATCACGAAAGCCCCTTGCACCTGACCGACATCGATTTCTGGATTCAAGCTTTGACCAGCATCGACCATCAAATCAACCCTCCTAATAATATGCTGACCGGTCAGCACATCGATTTCTATTTCGGCAATGGTAACACCGTAAACAGGGTAAGGCTTCAACGTATCTTCCATTGACCCGCTGAGGGTCAAGCTGCCAAGGTAAATGGAATGTATTATATAATAATTAGTTATGCGTATAGCATTTTAAGAAATGTTATCTCACTCTAAAAATACACAGAGTTTAAATCTATTTATCTATTTAAATAATTCTGAAAATACATGATAACTACGCTGCATATCATAATGATAACAAAAAGGGCTAATAAATCGCACTTTTTTACAGCTTATTGTAGCTTGTTTCATGCTAAAGATAAGGAGTGATTTTTCTTAACGGATGTAAAATGTTTCTGAAAATTTGTTAAAGTGCTTTACGACTTTGTGTGGTAGAATGTGTCAATTTAAGAAATTGTGTGACATATAGTATAGTATATGATCGATGTATCAAATACGATTTATTTAGTTCACCTATAACGTGTGTATAAATCAATGCCTTCTTGAAACGCTTTAAAGATGACATCCTGCCACTTCGGATTTTCCATTTTTTTTTTAATTGGCTCGAGTCTCTTTAAAATTTGTGTGCAAACTTGAATCGTTGCCTGAAAAGAATGGTGCAATAATCGGTACCATCATCAAATTCTTTGTTATACATGTATATGTAATGTATGACATCGCGTTTTCTACAGTGAAGGAGACATTGATTTCTTACGTATCCACAGGTATCTATAGTAACGTTGTGTCCTGTTTCTGACATGTTTGGTGCCGCTGAATTGTTGCTTTGTTTAACGGAAATTAATTCGATATCAATTCCTAGTGTATGAGCTGCTATTTGTGCGATCTAGTATACAGAAATAATTTTTATATTGGCAGATATTTGAAACATTTTACATATTAAATTTAATCTTTTGCTATTTAAAATACAGGAAATATGTGTATCTAGAAATAGAAGTGATTAAAATCATAGAAATCTCTCATATCACAATTTTTTATTTTAATTTTTTTAAATAGAAAACTTGAAAGTGAAGGATTTTTTAATACAATTTTCCATTATTTTCCATTATTGATAATTGAATGAAAAGCATGACACAACTCATTTGAATAATTCACTGCATTTTCATACCTTCGTATTTATGCCTTGATTAATTTCAATTCCGCTAAGTGTCACGCATACCGAACCGTCGCGAGCGCAGACCGATAATATTGTATTGAATTGTCCTACATATGTTGTCCAATACTTCATCGGTACCATTGCAATTCCTTTTTTTTTCCAGCGATTGTCTCTGTTGTACTCCCAAATAGAGATCTGTCTCTTTATGTAGTAGGTCATATTCAACATCTTTTGTATTATATTATCTAATACGGATTTATCATTATCATTCATATTCGCTAATCTGACTGCAATTGGATCCTTATTCGCCACTATCGCAATGTGCTCCATCATATTCTCAATCATGGCTAATCCTTCCGTAAATCCTGATGCTCGACAAAACGTGTTTGATGGTGTACCGGTTATGACTTCATATCCTCTAATATTCCAATTATCAATTAAGTAGCAGCTACTATAATGACAAAACATTGTTTATGTTTTTTAATTAAAGAAGTAAAATCAATCGCAATAAATTGTTTTCAAATTTGATTTAAATAATTATTGAAATCTACTTTGTCGAAATAAACTAAAATAATTTTTTTATTCACATTATTAATATGACATGTTTTCGTTATGTTTAAATATTTTTCTAAATCTTGTTCAATATAAAATAAAAATAGTTTAATACAATATACGATATTTCTGTTTAAAATTTAGCCTCTCGGTTTTTACAATATTGTGCACATAAAATCTAATAGACAAATTGTAATAATTAGAAATGCGTTTTGGTATAATACATTACTGTGTCATAAATTATCTAAGGGGGGAACCTGACTTAAAAATTCAAAATTTTCGATTTTTTAAATAAATCGGTAATAAAACTTATGAAAATATAGTTTCTGAAGTAACAAATCAAAATTCAGAGTATTTCGATAAATCGATGAGTTTCTAAAAACGTTTTTAGATAAATGTAGTTAAACTAAATTGTTTTTTCATTAAAAAGTCGAAAATTTCTCGTAAAAATTGTAACTTTTTCTTAAAACTTATACAATTTCATTAATTCTGCACTTTTTCTTGGTCTTCTTAGTTTTTTAGAATAAAATTTCATGAAGACTATAATAATAAATTTTGATTTTTTATTTCAGATAGGAATTAGATCCAATAGCCGTTACATAAAATAACAATTCCAGAGTTGCGCAGAGGTATAAACATATTAAAATATAACAATATAAAATAACATTCTTTAATCTTTTTAAAAAAAATATTTTTGCATTATCTATAGATGTCACAAACAACTCTAAAATTTAGTATTGATATTGTTTAATGGTTACTGAGAAAAAATTCGCGAAAATGATTATCTTTTTGGCGTCTTAAATCAGGTTGCCCCCTTAAATTTTTGTTTACTCTATACATGTTATATTTCGATACTTTTTTAAGAAGTAAGTTATTATGCCAGCATGCGGTTCGTTAGGACTAGAACCACACTCGCTCCAGTGTTGCGTGTCGAGAGACTGTATAACTCCGTCATCGTTTACTTCAATCCCATATATTTGATGCATAGGACATCTCTTGCCTATCGATAGCATATTGCTCTCCATCGTCATAATGAATCGTGCTGGGCGATTCAGTAGATAACATGCCAATGCGCAAGCGCATGAAATTTGCGCGTTGCGTGAAATTTTTGATCCGTAAGAACCACCAAGGCGTCTGACATGCACATTGATTCTAGAAAAATTAAATTCACACACGTTATTGCTGCTAACTTTATTCTATTCAAACATAACCTTTTTACTGGGCTTTCCAAATTAATAAGCATAAAATCCAATAATTGAAGGCGAGTGAGAGTGCAGCGTTGTTGTTGGTACGAGTAGTAGTGTGTGTGTGTGTGTGTGTGTGTGTGAAGGAGGTCATAAAGTAAGGAGTTTAATTGTTGTTAATTAAGGGGGAACATCACAGTGACGATTTAAAAAAATCGATTTTTTTTTATTGCATTTTTGTAATGCTTGAAGTCTTGAAAATATGTCCCTATAATATTATGTTGAAATTTCTGCCGGAACAATAGTAAATATGTGATAGAGTAGAACGTGGTCAGATGCCGCTAGGACATTCAGACGTCCCCTTGATCTGCTTGTAGGCAGTTTTACCGGTATTCTTTTGTTACCTGTGTGCTTCAATCGTGAACACTTCATGTGCACACGGATTGAACGCACTTTGGTTTGTTACGAAATTTTATCGTTTTATATAAACTAATCGGTTGTAAAACTTTAAACGTGTTTTTCTCGAAACCACGTTTTCGTAACTGGGCGCTCATATATCTCGGCAAATTTTTATCCGAATGATTTGAATTTTGGACACAATGTTTACAACGAAATTGTCTTCAGTTGCACGTACGAACTTTTCAATTGGATTATTAGTTTTTGAAAAATAAATAAAAAAGGTAACGATTTTTTATCTCAAAATCGTGACCTTTTCTTTAAAACAGCGCCATTTTGTCAAAAATAATTTTTTCAAAAAATCCGTATATGCAACTGAAACTACACTCATATACTTTAAAATAAAATAAAAAAAATTTATTTCAGAGCTCCCGTTCAAACGCTGCACGAGCGCCCGTGCATCTATGTTTTTTCAGATGAGGTGCACATCAATGAGTACTGAAGCTACAAATATTAATATTATTCAATAAATTTTTTTTAATAATTTTATAAATGTATGTACTTCGCATATATAAAAACAATAATTCATATAAGATATCAGTTTTCAAAAAAAAATTCACAAAAAGAGCCTTTTTTTCGGCCGTCACTATGATGTTCCCCCTTAACTTATGCTGGAGTTACACAGCTCGTTTGTACTAGACGGAATGCTTGTATTGCTGCAAGAGATCCACATATTGAACAATATTAAACGAATAAATAAATATAATGTAAATCGCAAAAAAAGAATTAATTTTTATTTTTTGTGATCTTCTCCAAAACATAGCAAAAATTAACATATCTCTATAGAAGAAATTTTTTTCTTAGTTTATCGATCCTCAACACGCTACCAAAGTTTGGCCATTTAAATTCCAAACACCTTGTATAATATCATTCTCGGAATTTTACATAATATTGTAGTATAAATTATAATAAAACAATTGATATAATTATTTTGGATGTAACTAATACGACATTTATGGTAGTACACAAGGTTGACTTGATTAGTGAGTTACCTGTTATGTTGAACATTAAGGCAAGTTGCGATCGATACTTGAATAAGATCCATCCATTGTGACGACGGATACACGTCAATACTATCTTCCATAGGAACGCATACGCAAGATTGAGTCTCCATGGAGTAGTGATATTGACCACCAGATCGAAAGGCTCCCTTTATTTCATGA